ACTACAATGCCGCTGGGGTCACTCAAACCCCCAGAACTGAGCCTCTACTTCAGTCAATCCTCTTTGAGTCCAACTGTCTCGTCCACACTCATTGGTCACTCATCGGAGTAGTTTCCGGAGGATTGTGAAAGTGATTGAGAATAAAAATGAACGTGATCACGAAATCCTCAAATATCTCTTCGCTGTCGCGTGCAGTTGCTGTGACAGTATCGAATTCTGGGCCTGTGGCAGGTACAAGCAAAGCACCCAAGAAAAAAATTCCAACCCCACCAACGATTTCGCGTGAGACAAGTTGGACAATCCGGCAGGATCTTTTTGACGGACCAATTCGCGTTGGCTCAGGACCTGCTGGTTTGTACTATTGAATATTCAGTATTTTCTGTGGTATTTATTAATTTCATTGCTTATTTCACTCATTTATGTGATGAACAGCTGATCAATTCTCCGAAATTACGTCTCGTTTTCGACGTTTATGTAACGAGTTTTCCTGACAAAATATCTCGAGAGGTGCCTGATTTATCGACATTTATGCACCTCTACAACAATTTCTTTTAATAATATACTTATACATTTTTTCAGACAAAGGTGGGCGCTAGAAAGAAGGCGATTACGGAAATATCAATATGTTGCTTCAATCTTGAGATTTGTGGGAAAACCTCATCTCGAGAAGATGTGCACTTATCCTAATTCAAAATACCATGTCATATTTTAATCTTTTATAGTTATCACTCCATGAATGAATCGGATTTTTTGTTTCAGTGAGCACTCAAGTGGTCCAAAAGCGTCTTGCACACACTGATATTCAGGTCCCAAATTTCGATGCATATCGCAAGGATTTCCTGAAGGATCCCACAGTCAGGAGCAATGATCGAGTGCCTCAGAGATCGAATTTTTCGTATCTCATCGCTGGAGGTAATGCGAATCAAGAGGAAAATGAGTTTTTTTTAATAATTGGGGATTATCGCGCAATCGAAAAAAGACAGAGAAATAGTTCATGTCTTTTTCCCAGATGTTGTTCCACTCCATAAAAAAACCTCCTGATAAAACCTTCTTGTTTTTTTTATAGCCACGGGACTGGCGACGGCTTATGGTGCAAAAGGCCTCGTCAGGGATCTCGTCGCAACGATGGCAGCCTCAGCTGACGTACTAGCCAGTTCCAAGATCGAAGTCAAACTCAATAACATCCCTGAGGGCAAGAGCATGGTTTTCAAGTGGCGAGGAAAGCCTCTCTTCGTTCGTCACAGGTGAAATTTCTCAGATATTCGTCTACTTCACTCTTAAAATTGTAAAGTCTCACATCGAATTTATAAAAATGCATTCAGACATCGAAAACTCCATTGATTCGATCAATTATTTATTAATTTGATCAATTTTTAGTAGGACCTCCAAAAACGATTCATACAATATTTCTATTATACTAAAAAAATGTTTAAAAATGTTGAATTCATTTGAATAACATTTGAAGGGATCAGAAGGAGATTCGGAAAGAAGAAGAAGTGAATGTCACGAGTCTCCGAGATCCCCAGCACGATCGTGATCGTGTCCAGCGGCCTGAGTGGCTGATTGTAATTGGAGTGTGCACCCATCTGGGTTGTGTACCAATAGCCAATGCTGGAGATTACGGTGGTTACTACTGTCCATGTCATGGTTCCCATTACGACGCAAGTGGTCGCATCAGAAAAGGACCAGCTCCACTCAATCTCGAAGTTCCCGCGTACGAATTCGTCGACGATTTGGTCATCGTTGGGTAATTTCAAAGATTATATAGTAGCAAGAAATTCACTACTATTAATGCTGTCTGGAGATTAATTATCGCATTGATTCACTTCAATCCTTATCGATTTTCATGTTATACGTGTGGATTGATCCAGGAGGTGTACAGTATACCATATTATAGAAAGAAATAAATAAAAATGATGAGTAGTTCAGAAATTTATGGTACATCCTTTTCCCGACAAGCCATCGTCGATCAGAAATTTACTAGAAAACTGAATTTCGATTGAAAGGGAATCGAATATCATCGGAAAGAAATGATAGTATCATATTCTCGAAACCCATTGTAATGCCTAAAAGTGGATTTCAAAAGAGCGGAATCACTGACTCATTCGAATTTTTCAATCAATCAATTTTTTAATTGGCACTTGAAATTTTTTTTTATCTTCTAGTAATCTTTCTAGTCACTTTTTTCAGAGACATTCGGGAAATGCCCCGGTGTTACCAACATTACGAACAAGTGTTTAGTTCACGCGCCACCGCATTGCAAAAATTTTGTCCAAGGCTTTTACGCAGGCCTTGAAGATCTCCCATACAATCATCGCAGGGTACTTCTTTTTTTTACCCCCAAGTCCCATTAATTCGGACTTAATTATCATTCCTGTCGTTTATGAAAGTGAATAAGTGACAATACAAGTGTTGTGATTGACCACCGGCGATTTCTCACTATTTTCCGGATACAGTCGTCAATTTCATTGAGAAATCCACGTGTTGTGGCGTTCATCCCCCAAAAAGCCGGCTGTCTCTGCATGCTGAAGAATTATTATTCATTATTATTCATTACTTCACCGACAATTGCTCAGTCATGGGCCGCAGTTTGAGGGAATTTTCGGTGATCAGTGAAGCCGGCAATTACTGTAATTAGTTTAATGAACAGTAGTGAAAATTGGCGATTTTGGAGGCATTGGGATTGACTCTGGAGATGAGAATCCCTTAAGACAACGCCAGGACTTGATTATTTGGTGCAGGACTAAAGGACACACTTGTAATATGTGATTTCACGTGAGTTTATGGATTTTATTATCGATAGAGCCCTCAAAGGCTCACGACAAATAATTTTTTATTCGGGTTTTCATGCGAGTGAACTCTGGTGTAAAAGGAGAAGCCGAAAAGAGTCAAGTGACGTTTTCCGTGGGTTTTTCGGGAATATCTTCGAAATTACGGGTGAAAGCGGGATTTTTGTTAGAATCTTTTTCATAGGGCTAATTGATAGCTACGGAAAAGTTTACTATGAAAATTACGATATCTCCTTTTGTTCCGAAGATATTCGCGGGAAACTCAACGAAGAGTTGAGGTTCGGTGATTTAACATTTCATGACAGAAGTTTTTTTTTTTTGGTCTTTATCACGAGTCGAACATTTAACAAACGACAACAGTTTTTTTTTGGTATGGTGAATTTCTGGTTGGAAATTACTTTCTTTTTGGGAATTCAATTGTCATTCTGTTGAGATAATGCGGAATCGTATCCGATACGCGAAAATGAAGAGATTTTGATTTTTCGTTTTGATTTCTTTATGAAAATCCAAGACAGGGTTATTTCACGTTGCCTCAATGAAAACTTTGTGGGCAAAAAAATTCCACGTAATTAGCATTCGCATAAAAAATCCAAACCTATTGAATTTTCAAGGCAAACGTTAGAATTTTCCATTTTCAATTGGTTTTCCTCGTACGTAATAACTCGAATAATTTTCACAATAATCTTGTTGGGAATTCGTCATTGGGCATAAAATTTTGAGTCATGAATTGAATTGGCCAAGGATTTACGATGAACAAAGGGAAAAAGCAACAAAAATTTCATTTCTCTGAAATAACTCTGGCCTTCTTCACTCAACGCACTCGAAGAACTCGTTCGAATACAATTTATGGAATACGTAATGGACGAGACAAATCATAACAAACACAAAGGAAGACAAAACCCTCACTCAATCGTATGACAGTTTTCAAACTGAAATGCAACTGGAGTCAATTCCAGTAAATTACAATTCAAGGAATATTTGACAGGGACAAATCGATATTCACTTGGACATTATTCTCATTACTTCATATTTTCCACTGATAACATTTATACACGATTTTTCTCTACATTCAGCAATTACCTCAAAAATCTTAAAGATAATCAAACAATCTCCTATACTCTATTTTCTATCACATAATATAATATTACGTCTGAATTTTTCAAGAATTTCCCAATAATATTGGAAAATTTTTTTTATTCTGGATAATTTCGATTTTCTAGTCATTTCAATTTAGCAATTCGAGTCCTATCGTATAATATAATAATATATCATATATAATGTTATGTGATAATATAATATTATCCATAATTTTTTGAATATTTTGAAAAAAAAAAATTATTTCTCATCCGGACAATTTGGATTATCAGTAATTTCTATTCGGTTCTTCTGAATATTTTTCTCCGTGCAGTGAAAAAAAAAAGCGTCCAAGTGGAGTCTGCAGGGTATCGAGGGCCACCCCTTTACCCCTTAACCCCTAGTCGCAAATTCCCAAAACTCTTCAGTCAGATGTACGTGAACTGAGCGCAACGGATCGAAGTTATAAAATGCATGCGCACGCGCACGCACTAACACACATTGCACACAAAGTGCGTAAATTCAAGACAGTGTACTATTGTGGTAAAAAGCCCCTCTCGACTGGTGAATCAATAGATGCGCCTTGCATCTTCACCCTCCCTTATTCCCCTGTCTGTTCTCTCAGCGAGGGATTCTGCATTGTTTACACCGTTGAAAATTTTTTACCGAAAAATTCACAATCCGAGAAAATAATTCGCGACAATTCCGTGGCAATTGCTTAATCCTTTGATAAATTCCCGCGGTCAAATTCGCATTATCGATAATCATGACATGACAGAGGAAAATCTTGATTTTTATTTATGGGGAAATTATTTAGGTTCACGAATCGCGAACTGTTTCCAGTCCCGATTTCGATCTAGTCCCTCGATTTAAGAATATATTCATATTTCTGGTTTCAGAATAAATATTTCCGATTCGCGAATAAGATCCACTCGAGTCGATTGAATATTTTCGATGCATTATCGTCAATGCCCGGTCATAGACGTGCATCCGAATCCCTTAGATCAGGGCGAAAGGTCATCAGCGATATTCGCCGGAATATATCGGCGACAGGTGAAAGTGAGTTGGTTATAATATAGGAGAAGGTTAATGATTAGTTGTTCCGAGGTCGGGGGCTGTTGCCGGGTGCACGTTCCTCCTCTCCCTTACGTACTTTCCCTCCCCCCACCCCCTAATTTTTTTCCTTTTTTTGTGTTGGTTCATCGGGGAATTTCTATCCCCCTTCAACATCAACTCACTCGCAAAAAAAATCGTCCTTGTTCCTCGCGTATCTCCGTCACCGACGAAATTTTCGGAAATCCTATAGCCAGAAGTGCCTCTGGTGTGTGCGCACAGGGGCCAGGGGTTGTAAGGTTTTCTCCTTCTTCAGCTTTCATCATCAGGGCCGTATCAAGGCTACAGCTGATAGACTATTTCTAAACAATTGCCTGGTAACAATTCACCTCAACCAATCGGCCACCGTTCCGGTCACTCTCATTTTCATTTCTCAGGTTTGAAAATTCAATTGCCGATTTTTTTTCATTTTTTGAAGAGAGAAAAATTCGCATGACTCTGGAATGATTTTACGCGATTCGGACGTCTGATCAATAACTGAGGGTGAAGTTGAAGTTGAGTTTTGAAGTCGGCGGGGAAAATCATGAGTAGGGAATTTTCTGGGAGATTCTGAAGCTGGGGAAATTAATTCTCAATTTTTTCGAATTGAAAATATGAAAAAATTCATATTTTCGATCTAGGAATGCATATTGTTGATTTGAAAATATAAAGTACCGATTCCAGAATAAATCATTTCGACTCGAAAATACAAATCCACATACCTAATTCACCAATCCATATTTTCAAATCGAAAATATGAATTCCGAAATATGAATTCCGGTTCCACCGAATTAACATTCTCGATTTAATACTAAATATTGGTGCCTCGGTACCCCAATAACGCCAAAAAGAGTGAATATTTTTTCTGCGCAGCCGTAGAAAAAGGAAAAAGGATGAAATATTAAAAATATTCACTATTAAGCGGACAACAGCGCATGCGTTCGATGCAATCAAGGGGACTTAATTTCTAAATTCCAAACGCCTCGTGGCTCGAAATATTTGAGAATAATCAAAAATATTCCTCAATACTTAGACATAACGATCGGTAATTCGAGAAGAAAATAGAATGATCGTGATATTAATTTGGCAATGGCCGTGACTCGGGTAGGAAAATGGTTGGGGATTGGTGGCGACACAGGGACGGCCTCGCGATCGGGTGGTTTGGGGTGGTTTGGGGTGGTTAAGGGTGATTTTGGGGTGGTTAGACCCCCGGGGGCCATGGGGTGGCAGGAGTAACCTTGCAACCCTCTTCGTGGACGAATAGAGGAAGGGGAAACACCAGAAATCCCGGGAAGAGGGGAATAAACGCGGGCGGGGGTGCAAACGTATCAGTAACGGGCGTGACGTGAGCTGAAGAGGATGTACGCCCATGTCAGTGACAACTCCAGAAATCAACAGTCAAACCTGGGGAATCCATGGTGGTTCCATTCTTCAGGTATTTGACTACTATTGCACTCTCAAAATCTTTTCAAGTTCGAGCGGTCGTCTCATTAGCGGAGGAATCATTTTCACAAAGTGATTTTCATAATTTAACGATATATTCTATAAAAATTACCGATCCATTCCGGTGTTCCATCGCCAAAGGGAATTTATGGGATTTTTAACGAAATTCATTGTCATAAATTAGGTCAATATAACGATCGCTTTGAGTTCGAAAGGAATATTCGTTTTCCTTCTGTCAAACTCCTCGCATCTTTCTTTTTTTTTCTTTTAATGAGTGTTATCCGATTTTTAAAAAATGCATCATCTTTTAATTCAGGAATTCCTCCTCAGTCCGAAGACCACTGATTTCTTCTGTGAAACTTCCAAAAATTTAAAAATTGAATGAAAAATGAGATTATAATTTGTGGTTGCGCTATTGATTTATTTCCATAGTTCGAGCGCAATTAAAAAATTAATTAAACACTCCCTTGAAATCGATAGTCCAATCTATTGTTACAGGTATTTAGGGATTGTGTGGTATTGCGATATTTTATTTCACGGAGTATTTTCAAAGTTTTCCATCGGTTCTGCGATTTTTTTTTCCTTTGCGACGAATTTTCCGTTTGGAGAGTAAATGAGGGCAAGGGGAAATTCTCGATCGTGGCGGCACTGGGAATTAAATTGTGTAGGACGTCATTTTATTTTCGTGCGAGACTAGAAAATAATGCCTAGACTGCTGCCTATTGTGCGGAAAATTTTTGTCCGGAGTTTCCAATCTATTCCTCCAAAATTATCCACAGGAACATTTCAATTCAGTTCAGAGAAATTTTCAGAAAAATTCACTATTGACATGTTCCATCTAAATTCACCTTGACCACTTCTAAAGATATTTTCGTATTGCAATCTCACTTGAATTTAAGATCTTGTCGAATGATTCATTAATTCGTGGACAATTCGAACCGATCTGTCAATTTCGGCTCCAATTAACCCTGAAAATAAATAGATAATCTGAAAATATCGAGCATTTCGAAAACAAATATTTACAAACATTTACTTGCGCCAGATAAATCGACTTGACTTGTGCTTGCTTTAGCAATTCATGTAGGGGAAATAATTTTATTTTCATCAAGAATCGCCCAGATTTTTCTATAATCATGAAATTTACTTAATAATTTTTAAAAACAGAAAATTTCAAGTATTTCCGATCGAAATATTCACAAACATTTCTTTCCTCTATATAAATTGATTTCTGATTCAATTTAACAGATTGAATTTTGTCTCTGAGTGGAAAAAATGAAGATTTGAATATAGTTATTAATTGTATTTGGCAGTAATAATTTTTTATCGGTGTAAGCTCTGACGTGCGTTAGTTTAATTCTCTTTTGGCGCCACGTACTTTTGTACACGTGCTTTCTAGTATTAACTCTCACTCGTTGGCTGAGGGCCTTTCAGTTTGGATGCGTGTCAGTTCTCCTCGAGTGGTATTTTCAAAAAAAAAATACCGTTCAAGTTGAATATTTCCTCTGGTCGAGGTGAAGAATCCAGTGTTGTGGGAAAGTGAGTTCAATGCAGGAATTGAAATCTCCGGACTGACGCTAGAGTTGCATCTGCATTATCAATTCAATTCTCTCGGTTAATCATTGAATATTGCATTGATCGTAACCGTAAGTCTTCTATTGATTAATTTATTCCCTTACTCATTCATTTATTCATTCATTTATTCATTCATTTATTCATTAATTTCTTAATTTTAATGAGAACCCCTCGAGTGAATGGAAGATCGAACGCTCGAGGTGAAAATCGTTAGGTAAAGTTTCAGAGATCGGTTTGGCGAGAATTAAATTGTTTGAAATTGCATATTATCATTCAAGAGGGCGTTCTCAAGTATTGCCTCATTATTTTGTCGTATCACGTGTCCCGGTGAGACACGTGTGATCGACAAGCGCACGTATCGATACGAAAACACCTGTCGAGAGTGATTTGCCCCCGCTAATATATTTCTCCCTCCTGCACTCAATTTATAATGGATGAATCTTTTGTCTCGGATTTAATGATTTATCGATTTTTATCCACACGTAGACGAGATTTTAGGAAAATTCGGTAGCGGAGAGGTGATGGGTAACGTCGACTTGTTGCCTAGCCGTTTTTTTTTTTTACGGATATCTCGGTAACTGACGGAGATACCGCGATTTCTCTCAGGACATCTTTTTTCGAGACGAGTGAGCCTTAAAAAAAAGATCTTATCAAAAATTTTGCTATCTCTCGTGGATTCACAGATATTTTAATAGAAAACTCGTTTTTCTTGAGAATAAACGGAATTTTCCAGGGAGGGACTGCATTCGGGGACTCAAGGCCCTCAGGAAATTTGATATTATTATAGTCCGTGATGAATGAAAAATCAACGGCAGAATACGAAATTATTTCCATAAAATGGTCAGCGTCGTTCTAACGTTCTAAAATAACTTGAACTTGAATTCAGTAGCGAGATAAATCCAGTTTTCCCTCTCTGTTCACAACCTCTTTATCTCATAAACTATTTAACGAAAAAAAAACCGAAAGACTTCTATTCTCGTGAATTCGATGAATCACAAAAAATCATACATGATAATATTGGCTAAAATGTTGAAACATAATAATTCATAAACATATTAATTTCCTATAATTCTCAATAGCGATAATAGATACGAAAACGTGAAAGATATTTAAAATATCTAAAAATAATAATAATCATAATCAGATTAATAAGTAAAAACATTTCATTCCCGGAATTATTACTTTACACGAGGACGGAGTACATTAGTAATAAAAAAACTGCAAAAGAACAGACAAATGGCGAGCATTAATAAAAATAACAATAACTATCATTCCCAAAAATCCAAAACTCCTGAAATTTTCGTTTTTCACCGCAAGTTATTCCCCGGATTCTCCATTCCGCCAATAAACGCAGAACTTCAATCCCCAACTTAATTTCCATAAAAGCAAGAGCAAAATGATGAATATTACTAACAATAACACTAATCGAATCAGAATTATCATTCTCCACTCATTATTCGTTGGATTCTCCATACCACCAAGCGCCAAACTTCATTAAAAAAATACGTGGAATATGAAAAAAAAAAATATATATTCACGTATATGGATCTGTGTGGATGGAAAGGAGAGAAAAAAAAAAGAGAAAACGCGCGTGCGTGCAGGCGCGTGTGTGATGCAGTCACATTGAACGCATGTGCGTGTCATGCTTGCGGCTTTGTGTGCGTGAATTGAAGCCGCGCGTGCGGCCCCGCGGTGACCTTGAATTCTCCTACCAACAGAAATCCACAACTCCCACCTTAATTCCCCTCCCCCTCATCCTCACCGCACTCTCCCACCCCTTCTTCCCTCCTCCTCTCTCTTCCTCTCTCTTCCTCTCCTTTCCTCCCCTTCCCCCCTTTCCGCCCCCCTCGCTCACCCGCCTTACCACATTCACCCCCTCTTCCCTCACTCCCCCATTTCCTCCCCTTCCTCCCCCGTTCCGCGCATCGCGTTGGAACCGCTAGATATATTTGTTTCGCAACATTATTTTGAGTTGAAAAAATTCTCATATTCGCAACGTCAATCCACTTTGTTCCAGCGACAACTCGAAATCAATTACATAATTTCATTTTTTTTTTTTTCCGCCCCACTCTATTTTTTGTGATTTTTGTTTTCCTCTGGCTCTAGATAACTCGCGAAATCTGAAACTTTTTTTCTACCTTCGGGCGGCTTCGGAGAAAAATTTACCGCTAACGTACACCAGATGATTGACCTCTGGACTTCGGGGGATTGGGGGATTTTTGGTTTTGAAAATCTTCAGCGATTGGGTTTTGGGATTTGGGGCAGAATACATTTTTTTAATTGAGTAAATAATTAGGGGAGAATTTTGAAATTTAAATCGGAAATTAATACTTCTTCTCCTCATTTATATTTTCTCACTTTAGTATTATTAATGAAAATTCATTTACAGTTGATTGTTGATTTTTCCAAGTTATAAAAAAATTCACTGCTCAGCACAAAAATTATCGGCAGTCTTAAATCTTTCAACATAGATAAATAATTTAATAAATCAAATAATAATGATAAAATAATAATGATAATTGAACAAAAAAGGCAAATAGTTTGACAAAAAAATTGTCAGCGATAAATAACTTATTTCAATAATTTTCAAATGATTACCTTCAATGACTACACAAATACAACTACTACTGTAGACCCCATTGAAATATCTTTCAAAATGACTTCCGGGTGGCACCTGCACGGTTTGTGCTACTTTTTTTTTTCGTTCCCCAAATCCACCACCGACTGCATACGAAGACCCACGAGTGATAAAATCCATGGAAAACCCGACTCACTGACCCAATTCACTATCATAAACCTAATTTTCCCTGCAACGAATGACGAAAAATGAATAAACCGCTGGAAAATTCCCCGTGGAAGAAATAAAAAAATTATTATTTTATCTATCTCGGTTATCGTAAAAAATTGGAGTTTGTTAAATACCATAATTAATGACAATAATATCAATGATAATGATAAATTGTTATAAATTACACACCATTACACATATTAGATTATTTTATTATCTTAAATATTTATTATATGAATGATAATAATAACGATTTTGACATAGATATATTTCAAATAATGTAGTGGCATTGAAAATAAGAATATTCTTGGAGCTGAAAATGATATCTAACTCTTCCAGGGCTTGTTTATTTCGCCACTTGTCTCTCTATCGAATGCGTCGTCGCTTGCGCTAGCCCAATACATACACGATTTAGCGTTTGATACCTATATACATCGGGTATATATACACTGAATTACGACATATGAATATTAGTAGTAGTGGGATAGGCGCGTGGGGCTGTTACTCGTGTATGAGAGCGCAGTGCTTAGACAAACAGCCTCGTGTGTGCTAGAAAGGTCCGCAGTGCTTCAACTAGTTCGCATTTCTACAAATACCTCGTCTCAACCCCGAAAGTTATTATTTTTCAATGTAAATACTGTTATTTTGGTGATAACTGTGATTGAATTGCCCTGTCGTGACGTACAAGGTGATCTGGAGAGCCAGTCGTCTCGGGAAAAGGTTTTTCCCTCGACAGGGAACGCATTTTTGGAAATACCTATTTGGTGGTGAGAGCTTTTTTTGGAGATCTGATTACGCTCTACAAAAAAGGACTTAGGGAAAATTTTGATAGATCTTGTGGATTCTGAGATATTCCTCGTTATGCCGAGTTGGTATTCTGTTTTCTTGTTGAGTCGGTTTGGGTGTTCGGTGGGTTTTCGGAGGATATCTTCGAGGGGGAGGCAGATAGCGATATTTTTGATAAGATCGTTTTTGTGGGGATTATTGCACTCTCCAAAGAACGTTCTGACAAAGATTCACTGGATTTATTACATTCCGAGATATTCTTCGAAGACTCGAATTATTATCCTCTACCCCCAGCAACAAGTCGATTTGAATAATAACAATAAATAAGTTCTTGGGGAATATCTCCAAATTTAAGAAAGATAACAGAATTTTTGATAAGATTGTTTTTGCGGGCTTTATTGCACTCTATAAAAAAGGTCATGAGAAAATTTTGCTAGATCTATTGGATTGAGAGATATTTTTGGGAAACTGGACTAGGGGTTATTCTTTATTGAGTTATTGCAATATTTTCAGATGAATTGTTTATTATTTTTCAGCTGGAGTAGCAGTTGGGCACACGTGCGATCATTCCGGAAAAACCGCGGTGGAAGGTGACAGTGGGAGGGGTGGAGAGGGGGCAATCGCCAAAGGCAACATCATGGACTCTCACCAACAACAGTTTTGCCTCAAATGGAACAGTTTTGGGAGTAATTTGGCAACAGCATTTTCCAATCTTTTCAAAAGTGAAAGTCTCACTGATGTCACACTGTTCTGCGAAGGTGAGTTTTATTCTTTATTATTATTTTGACGTTACGAACTGAATAACAATTTTTTCATAAGTGATCCGAATCATTTACATAATAATTAATAATAATCCACGAATAATTATTAATTATCCAAATAATAATTTTCATTTAATGAAATTTGAAGAGTCCGATTTTTTTTTTATTTTTACCGGGAAATTAGAAATGAAAATGACTGGTGAAAATGAAAAAAACGGATTTGCACAATTTAACATGTCCGTTCGCCATTATTTCGCGGTAACTGGGAGATATATACAGTAGAGATAGTAGGTGTGTCGGAAAAATGCATCAGACCGGTTGGTTGAGGATACAACCAATGGCATCAAGTGTTGATGCCAGGCGCAAAGTTTCTGCACACGAGTGCTCATTGCATCGTGGCGTTGCAGTTCGCGAATAAACTGCAGATGAGGAACGCCTCCTTCCTCGTGGCCTCAGTCGATTTGCGGTCGCCATGCGATGCAGAATGTATTCTAGAATAATCCGCGAGTGTTGTGCGCCAATTTTTTCCGCTGTCCAAATTTTTTCTGTTCTACTTTTTTTAATTCACTTGTGCAAAGTGTTTTTCTATTTGCACGATCATTACGGGACATTTCAATTGCATAATTACATAAATACGGATTTTTTATATTTCAAATCTTTAAATTCAATGTGAAGTGGTAAACTAGGACAAATGCATTTTTTCGGAGTCGAGTTTTTAACCAATAACTCGAAATTGAACGAACATAGCGAATTTTTTGTTGGAACATTTTTTATAGAAAAAGGTGAGAGCTAAAAAAAAGGTATTTATGGTAATATCATTGTCTTCCTGGAATTTCGAAAAATGGACTGATTAGTATTGCCACTTCGCTACTCAATTGAAGACTTGATATATTTTTACTTGAAATATTACCGAAATATCTCCATTCCTGCTGCATCATTTTTTTTAATACCGTTTCGGTGTTGATTTCGAGTTAAAAAATGCAACGAAATCCACCGAAGTGGTGCACTGTGCACTGGCTGGGGAAAATCATGAGTTAACAAAACGGATTCACGGGAATAGAATATTTATAGAAAGCGTGAGTGCGTTTTTGGAGATCTAGCCTAGAGCGGACGTGTCACGGTTGGTATGGCACAAAAATCAGAGAGTTCTCTCACCAAAGTCTCGAAAGTAGGTCTAGGGTACAGTTAGATCTAACAGTCCATCGTACACGATATATCCTTTCGAAGTCAAATGTTAATGGTTTCGGCATGTGATGCACATTTAACTCTTCGGTGGAATGAGAAGAACGGTAAAGTGTTCCGAGCGCGATTCCATGTGTGGCCTCGGTTTATTTCAGGATAATTACGGAATAGAATGAAAAAAAGAAATGGATGGAACACCCGGAAGCATCCCCGTTCTCATCGTTAGGCACTTTTTTAATGTGCACCTTTCGACGATAAACGCATTTTCCTTTGTATTTTTTTTTATGAGTCACTCGTCACGCGTTTTTCACTATTTTTTTACGAAGATAAATATGTCATGAAAATTGTGGAATTTTATTTCGCTTGGCAATTGTGGAAGCGAAAACTTTTCGGTCTCATTTTTTTTTGTAGCTTTTGGATGCTTAATAATTTAATGAAATCCCTGGAATTTCTAATTTCCTGTGGAAGAATTGAAAATTAATGCCTGGAATTGTAATTCCTTCAAAATGAATGCATGAAAGAAAATTTTCTAGGTAATGAATTAAATTATTACCATCATTTCTCGGAACCGAATTTTTCCCTTCTCGGAATTCCGCATCGCCTGTGCGTTAAATGACAATTTTCTCACGAAGCAAAGCAGAAATAGATTGACTTCTAGATTTCCCATTTTCTTGCATTATTTTCCTAAAGATTTAGTCTATATCGGGGGAAATCATGGGCTTGATAACTCCGTTATCTCGAAACTAGGCCAGATGGTTCGATGGTACATAGTGAATTAGGTCACGTACGTCATTGATGTACTTAAGGTATGACAATGTAATATCCATACGAGAAAAAAAAACTTCCTATCAAAAATTCACCAGAAAATAACTATTCAAACTATCTCGATAAATAACGAGTAAATAATTGAGTGCATAAACAATTTGATTAAATAATTATTTTGGTTATGTTATATTGTTGTGATTAACTATTTATAAAATTTCAGTATTTTTGTTATTTTTGATTGACAAGGGATTATTTTCTTGGATCAATTTGTTTTTGGGAAAAAATTGTCCTCGGTGCAGATGGCATGGTATTTTGTTTTGTTTTATTTCGATAGGCCTTGACTAGTGAAAATTGAAAACAGAATAGAGCGGTAATGTTTTGAACGTGAAGTCGATAGGGCCTCTTCGTCATCCGATAACTTAATTACTTGGAATTTCGGGTTGGCGCGGATGTTTCCATGGATTTATAGGTCTTGAATTCGGAGAAACGCATTTAATGTGATAACAGCTGTGGCTCAGTATTACTCGCTCGTTAACGATTATTAAAAACCACAAACTTTGGAGAAATAGGCATGGAAATCAGTCCCATGCGCTCACCGACGTCATCAATATTTTTGTAGATAATCATTATATCTTTTATAATTCGTTCACAATTACGGAAAATTCGGATTGTTCTTGAATTTTCCAGGAAACGCAGCATTAAAAAAAAATATTCGATAATAATAAGACCAAAACCCCGAAAATGAGAATTGACCTTGAACTTTCCATGGATTTTCCTCATCAAATAAAACCACATCAGATTTTCCGGAAAATTTGGTACACTAAAAAAAAAGAAGACCCAAAAAAATTTTGAAAAATCGGGATTGACCTTGAATTATCCTTAAACCTCAAAAAAATAATTCAAAAGTCATTCAAAATTTTCTTTCACTTAGTTAGAGGTACAAGAATTTATTTTGAAGAAAATTGTGCAAAAAATTCCGTAACACTGAAAAAAAAAAGGTGGCCATGCAATAGTTGGACACTTGAGCCAGCAATCCGGTTGATATCCACCGTAGGTTTTCTCATTCTAAAAACTACAAACGACAGGTCGTTCCATTGGCTCCGTCTCTCCGTCTTAACGTCGGTCGTTCTCTCTCTTTATCCATCTGTTTTTCTCCACGTTAATGTACGACATGTGCAAGCCGTGTCCTTGGTCCCACGCGGCCATTGGCCGAGCGCCGGTTGATGTTGATTGCCGATTGGTTCGCTCCATACGCCCGTGAAAAAAAGAAGAAAAAAAAAAAATTCGTGAGCGGGTGCCTTTGTACTCTTTGCATCGACCTTGCCAGTCCGTTGACCCCCCAGCGCGTTCACGAATCTCTTCCTTCCGAGTGATGCCGAAGAACTCCTTCGGTTGCCACTTCATTTCGCCCATTTTCTTTTATAAACTCCTATTTTTGGATTTCCGTATATTGTTAAAACCTTAGTTCTCCACTGGGCGATCGATAGTCGGGCCTTCAAGGGGCTCTCATTGATGGAACTCATTTGGCACGCGTTCTTTTTTTTTCTTTTTGTGATTTCAGTAGGTGAAAGGTAACCAGTCGAGTTTTTGATTGATATCTCGGAATCTAAGAGAGATAGCCAATTCTCTTTCGGGATATTTTTTGTAGAGTGGAGTGAGATGTGCAAAAAAGATTCTTACAAAAATTTCGCTAACGCGTATAGATTTACAGGTATTCATCGAATATTTAGCCATTTGTTAGGTTTTCTTCTAGATCTAAGGATCTATGAGAAATATCAAAATTTTTCTCAGCACAATTTGGCGACTACAGTCCTCTAGTGTGGTTCGATCAATTCCTATTTTTCATTCCAATTTAGCATTCCTATTCGCGCAAACTATTTGCATTGTATAATTCTTGGGACTGAGTGGGAGGCATCGGGCTTTGGAAGATTTACTAAAAGAGGAGCGAATCGTCTGCTATTGTGTTTTTTCGGTGGAATTCCCGGCGATAAGCTATTATTCGAGAGTAAATAGGGTGAATTTATCCGTGACATTGAATCGACGTCAGCATGATACACTGGCACAAAATGACTCGAAATTTTCCATATAAACAGGTATTCGAGCGGATTAATTCAGATAATTACGATATCAGCGAGTTAATATCGAATTTAATTCAAAAACCCGAAGAAAATGTTACATTTTCCACGTGAAAAATAAAAGTTCACTCGCCCCTAAAATTTGAAGAAAGAAAAAATCCAATTTTTTTTTTCCTGAATTCTTCCAACTTTCATTAATTTTCCGCGAATAATTCAATTGAATTATTGAGTTACCATGAATTCTCGCGCCAAAAGTCGGAATTTTAAATTCCAAAATTCACAATCAAACCTGTGGAACAATATCTTGCGCAATTTATCAATTGATTTATGAATTGACATCGATACCAAATGCCTAAAATTACAAGTGACGCAGCACCAGTAGCTCATGATAATGGAGACCCACCTCATCGAAATGGATGGTTTCCTCAATTTACCTAATATTTAAACATCGAGATAAGGCTTTTTGTGTGAAAAACCAATAGATTACATTTCAATAGTGCCTCAGGCCCTGTCTTATCGTATCCCCTGATAATTCTCGCTGGTTATTCTGAATTGGTTTTGACGATGTTGAGCAGCCGGAAATCTGCTGCATCCTGCGGGGATCTAGATAATAACAGTATATCTCGTGATAGAGCAGTTTCGATAATGATTGCGATGTAACCTTGGGGATAAGGCAGCGACCAAGAGCATCGTGCAGATAAAATACCCACGCAAACTCACGCGCCCCAAATTCGATGACAGCACGGTCATTGCCCTTTGCATGATGAGAATTCGCATTCAGTTATCGCACAGCTCCGACACATGTGCACCAGTTACGAAATCAAGGACAAATATATGTTTGGCGTTTTTTTCCGCAGTGAATTCTAATAACTCGCGTAATATCGCACTGAGCCGCGTAAAAGACGGAAAATTTATAGAGCGCTCCACATCCTGTGACGCCACAGGAAATCGTTAGATCGGATTTTGGATTGGATAGGGAGAAAACCAGGATAATTTTCGATATAATTATACAAGAATAATTTACTGAAAAAATGGATAGTCCTGAGCGGAATTTTAACCCAGGACCTTCCGATTGTGCATCGGGTGGTCTCCCAACTGAGTGATAAAATGCAAAAAAAAAAAATAGAATAATTTGGAATTCTAGGAATTTAATAGGTTTTTTATTTTTAAAGATTTTGGGAGTGAGAGGGATTGCTCGGGAATTTCGATTTTCTTTGTGGGAGAAAATAGGGGATGAATCTTTGCAAGCTATTTTTTTTTTCGCTCTTATTGTAGGGTTAAAAGAATTTCTTCTATTTTAGGAGTGACATTCAAAGCGCACAGACTCATTCTGGCAGCATGCAGCAAGCATTTTCAAGAATTATTTGAGGGTATGCCACCCTCTCCCGCCGGACTCATTGTCATTTTAGACGGTACGAGTGCCCACAACATGGCATCACTCCTGGAATTCATGTACCGAGGAGAGGTGCACGTGTCCCAGGAGTCTCTGAGCTCCTTCTTGAAGGCTGCCGAGTGTCTCCAAGTGCGTAAAATTTCATCTCCCTCGTCAGCTCATCCATCCTCCGCCCCCTTTCACGTTAAGAAAATTCACCTGATTTGGGTTTATTTATTACCATTTCAAATAACTGCATATTCATGATTTAGGAATTGATAGTATTCATTCGAGGATGTGGATTAAAGAATCGGATTTATTCATATTTTCCATTCAGAAATATATATTCTCGTTTTCAGAATTCTAATGTTGAATTCGGGAATCCATATTTCGAATTCGTGTATTTATATTTCCGGTTCAAGACTATCTACTCCCACATCACGAATATGGATGCCTCAATGGGATTTATTCATATTTTCCATGCGAGAATAAAAAAAAAAACCTAATCGAGTTAATTTTTTTTCCGTGGGGCGTTGAATAAAAAACAATTTCCTAATTTGGTTTTGTCACGTGAATAGGTGAAGGGGCTGTCGATCGAACACGAAAAATTGGCCGTGGCCCACAGACACGTGGCAGAAAATAACAATTCCTCCGCGGAGTCAGCAAGTGGTAATACCGAGGTCCTGGAGGCCGAGCCTGACAGAATTATGAAGAGGGAACCCACTCCTGCTCCATCCCCAGCCCCCAATTACGTTGCACCGAATATTTATCACTCGTCTCACTATTACGAAAATTCACAGAAGAGGACAAGGCTAATGAGGTGATTAATTCTTTTATTTCATTCCTCAATTTATCACAAGAAGGGGTACAGCACGATAAGTGGAATTTTCCATTTTCATCAATTATCGACGAATCTCAGAATTGATTCATTACTCAACGACTTATGAACTCTCAATTTTTTTATCAACAATATTTTTAATTCCCGATTTATCAACGAAAATTAATAGAATATATTGTTCTATTAATTTTTTTTTTCAATATTAAAACCGTAAAACGTCTGGACAGATCACCAAGTGAAATAGATGCCCTCGGACGAGTGAGTGTTCTTCGAGATGGTGCGGCTTTCAGACCAGCTTCTGCACCCCATCCGTTACTACTTGAGAATCATCTCTACCAACCATTTACCCATTCCTCTGAGAATCAAACGCATCCCCACACTGCACCCCACACCCCGACCGAGCTGGAACGAGAAATCGAGCCTGAAAAATTGGAGGAACGTGGAGATAACAAAGAAAGTGTAGCTGAAGGTAATTATTATGGGTCACAATTGGTCGGGGTGATTAAAAAAATACAAGTCTTAAATTTCAACGATTACAAAGCCTCCATTCCGAGGCACAAATCATCCTCCTGAATAATTCCATCGATTCAGTTACAATTCTATTAATTTTTTATCATCAATTGTTTAATTCCGCTTTACTACTTCGAATGACAATCGATTTTCATTTTCCATTTCTCTGTTTGGATTTTCTGTGCAATTCCCTTAAAGTTAATTAATGTCCTCCGAATAGGAATAATAATGATTTGAATGATTTTTTAATTGAATTTTATCACACGTGATGTCAATCGAAATGTCCATTTTTGAAACGTAAAATTCCTATAGATTTGCGAATAAAACAAGAGCCAATGATGTTCAGCGATCGAGAGAGAGCGGAAAAATTAGCCGAGAGATTATCTGGTGAGGTTTATTCGGGGGGTCGTGGATTCGATGCCACTAATTATGCATTGAGTGGGGAGCACAATAAGGGAGGTGTGGGATTTAATCAGGGAGCATCACTCGCCCATCCACCAACACCTGATCTCAGTCCAGCTCCACCGACACCAGCGAGATGGAATTCAAAGATCAACAAAGCTGGAACTGTCACCACACCGGACGGTAAGTTCAATTTTATAATTATTTTAATTCATTATCCAACAGGTAAATCGTGATGATTAAAAATTGGATCTAAAATCCAGAAATTGATTCTTCAAAAATCTCCACTATCAGAAAAAAAAATCAGAAATTTGAGATTTCCTCAAAAATTTCCTGAAGTTGAAATTTTCAATTTTTTTTTTTGATTAAAAAATTATTGTATTCCTTTTTTATGTACGAACTCATCGAATATGTGATCGAAAATAGTAAAGATGATATTTAATTTATTTATTAACTGAATTGATTAGATTCAATTATATGAAGAGGAATGAATAGATTAATGGAGTCGAGTGTTTCTCGCAGGATGAAGCAATCACTTGTTCGATACAGATCAGAGATTAGCGAATGCTTGCAAAAAGGCAACGAGCATCTCAGGGACACTCGGTGAATGCGCTAAAAATATAATATTATGTGTGAATGAGTCAAGTGACTCAGACGTTCGTTGAACTTTGCAAGCACGGGTGCTCCATTTGTATTGGATGTGCAATGGCCGACGGGTTTTTGCCAAATTGCAAACTCAAGATACCGCTGATAAAAATGACGTGGATCCATTATGAGATTAAAACGCTCACATATCAGTCTCTCGTTATTTATCTGAAGAATTCGGTGTCATTTCTACAGAATCAATCAACCTATTGGTTTCTGAATTCATTTATTTACTAAGAATTATTATTTTTGTTGAGAAATAGCCCGTTCAAAAAATAGTCTGTGGAAAACGGTAATAAATTCTTATTTTTGTATCGATGTGAGGTATTTCCACAGAAATTTCTGACCCCATTTTTTATGGAACGAAAGACTATTCGAATTCTGGGGAATTCTATAAATTTTTATTTTCGGACGTTTTCTATCGAATTTTCAAATTTCCAACGTTTTTTGTTTTGTTTGTTTTTTATGCAGGGAGAAAGTACAATTGATTAACTTTTCATATTTAATATTTTCTATTCAAGATTATATAATTTGCGATAAAGCAAAAAAGTTGGAAACTCTCAGAGTTCTCAAAATTCGATTGAACTTCTCAGTGGAATTAGTCAAAAATTGATGGAATTTCCAAAATCAATCCTTTGACATTTTTTTATTAGACCCATTATAATTTGTTATTATAAATAGGGCAATTTGTCATAAAATCAAAAACCTCTGGAGGTTCTCACGAGGGCGAGCCACTCAGGGCAGGGGATGGCGTAAGCATTAAATCGATAACACCGAGGGATGCGTGAGCGCGTGCGTTTACTCTAGATATTCAATAATAAGGCCTGCATAAATAGAAACCATGAGGCTTAACTAATATTCAACGCTAGATTTTCTAGAGTTACTCATTGGCCCTGATCAATCGAGAGTTTCTCCCCACAAGAGCTGTAGTTCATCATTTTTCATAAAATCGAAGAACCCGAATTTTCTCGTTCTTTTAAATATCGATTAAATCATTACCCATTAACTCTAGAACGAAATATGAAAGAACCTTTTTCCTCGAAAATTTGATTATCTAAAAGAAAGTCCTTTGCGGTTTTTCCTTGAAATCCTTACTTTTGTGGATAAATCAATTTTCCTCGAATTTGATATGCGTCATGTGACTACTACACCCAGTTCCAAAGTACATTCCACAAAATGTCATCTAATGATCCCGGAAATGAAAAATTCAAAGTTGACGATTGCTCATTGGTATTTCTTAACCCATGGGAGTGACACGTGGATTGAAAAAAAAAAATGAGCGAATCCCCCCGGAAATGGATCAGCTGAATGCACACATGTGTTAAAAAGCGTCTTGGCGCCTTGAAACTGGCGAAGGTCAAATGATTTGAAAACCCAATGGTTTGATTTGAATTTCTAGGTCTCTCTGCATCTGTACGCATCGAGTTGTGCCCTCTCTAATGCGCAAGACGTTTTTTTTTTCTTTTCGTCATGGGAATTTGGTGGGGCAACTTCAGGGCCAGCAACACAGAGAATCTCGTTGTGAAATTCTGTGTGTGCGATATAGGATGGAAAGGAAAAGGGTCGACCAGGTTATTTTGGCCATGGAACTCGTGTGGTGGGAGTAGACCTTGGCATCCGCTCTTTCGTAACATCATGACTTCACTTCTCCATTATTTTTCAACTGACATCTTCCAGTGATAAATACCCCTCTCAATCTCTTGTCATTTTCGTTATATTACATTTACATTCAATTACATTTCATTTTTTAAACATCTATCCTTTAATTATATCATTAATATTTGATTATTTCGTATCATCATATTATTATTATTTTTTTATATTATTTTTTGGTTTATTCATTTTTCTAATTGAGGCATTTAGCTTTAATTAAATGCATCTGATTGTGGAGCGTCAAGTAACATAATTTGACTTGACATTTTTTTTTGTTAATTACCGGTTTTTCTTGAAGGCTCTCGATTTGAGGTGAAAATCGTGGAAAACTTTTCTGTAGCTAATTCAATTTCCAACAGAAAAGGTTCAATGATATTTTCTCCTAAAGTCAGTACTTTTTTTAGATTAATCACAATTTAGTCCAAAAGGAAAATATTATCATTAGCAATTGCATAAAATTGCTAGACTCGAAATATTAATTTCATTAATTTTTCTTGTGAGGTTCTATCGAATTTCTTAAATCAAGAACAATGCACTTGATGAAGCACAATGCTTTCTTCCAGTATATGCAATACTGTGGGGACTGTCTTATTTTATTTATTTTTTATCTTCTCCTTTGGAATTGCGCTCTCGTCGACGATCGCCTTTGTTCAGTGTCGACCCTTTGTGAATTTCATAGTCAGCTGCACGAAATATTCATCAGCTATATCACACATGTCCACGTCGTAGTTTCTAGCCCGATGCAGAGGTCTATTTTTGGGTGTCGGATGTACTCTAAGGCTGTCCTATAACCACTAGACATTTGACAACACACATGGAAAAATTCCATCAAAAAATCTCACACTTTCCCTAAATCATTCTCACTCCTACAAAAATTCCACATTATCCAATTGATCTCCCATTTCTTTTCTTTCACGTGTATTTCCTAATCGGAGAGAAGTATAAATGCATAAAATTCCCAAGAATTTCTATTGGAATTCTATAACAATTTCATTCGTCTTCCACGAGATTTCTCTTTTTCCTTTTCACACCGACATTTAAAAACCCAAATTCTCAAAACCGGTGATGATTCCAATTTCTCGAATGAATCATAATTTAGTGAACGTTTCCACTCGAAATTTTATTCAAAATTTTATCTAAATGGAGAGTCAAATGACATTCTTACGAAATGTGAAGAATAAATTTAGTGCTATGAACATTTGCAAAATGATATTATTTTATTATTATATTTATCCTAAGAATTCAGGAAAATTGATATTTTTTGGCAGTGAAGTGAAGGGAGGACAGGGTAGTTTAGCGATTACTCAATCGCCTCCGGAAGGGAATCATAAGACCATTTGGCATCATAGCTTGACCTTCCACGCGCCAACGATGTTGGAAAGGCATTGGCCTGACTGTGAACAAGTTTTTTTTCACATGCGCTTTGTTCTTTTGGTTCTTTTTCTCGCGGTCATGTCCGCGTTGAGGAATCCGATGCGTCATGGATGTGATTATTTGATATTTTTTGGCAGTAGCTCGGGCCCATGACAGTCAGATCATCGGAATAATTGCAAATAAGTCCTCCACTCAAAATCTCACCGATTATTTATTCAATTTTCCCGTATAATTTTTCGCAAAATGTCAAAGTCATGATTCAAATTTTCTCCGCTTATTAAATATTAATTGATTAAAAATCCGTTAAATGATAAAAAAATAGCCGTTGTAATAAATATCTGTCGTGGATTGACTGGTAGCATTGCAATATTGTATTGGAGATTTTCTACCGATTTTTGCGATTTCATTTCGACTTTTTTCTTAGAGTACCACCAGAGAGATTTAATTGAATCGAATTGTTTCCAGGTAAGAAGCTAAAGTGCCCATTCTGTGATCGTCTTTACGGTTACGAAACAAATCTCCGTGCTCACGTGAGACAACGCCATCAGGGCATTAGGGTCTCATGCCCATTTTGTTCACGTACATTTACCAGGAATAACACGGTACGTCGTCACATCGCACGAGAGCACAAGAACGAAATGAGCATTAAAGCATTTCAAACGTCAACTCATCAAGTTGCGGACACAGTGCCGCAATAAAAAAAAAAATGATAAAGGGAAAAGCAAAGAAATGAAAAGAGTCTCGTTCTGATGGATTCGAGGAAATGGAAACAGCTAAAACCAATGGGCAAGGATATCCTACCTGTTGGCCATTCCTCCAGGGGCCTGGGTAGGTCACCACATTTTCTTGTGAGCAACTTATGCCGTTCTGCCACATCCGGTTATCCCATTATTTCCCCTGATAAGTTTCCAAAACCCAAATGAATCACTGGTTGATTCAAATGTACAAATTATCTGAGCAATCAGAGGCAAGAATTGAAAATTCTTGGATTATCATTGATTAATCCAAGTGTTTTTTTTTCCATCTGGTTACGATTTCCCCATTTTCAATCTAGCATTTTGTAATTAGTACAACATCATTGATATTATTGTGCTGATGATAATTGATGGGTATTGAGGGATGGGAAATATGCACTTGGATATATGAATGATAAAATAGTGGGACGAAAGGAAACGCTAACAAATCATAAAACTAGTCAATGAAAGTGCAACGGTCAAGTTAATATAACAATTTCAAACGATAATAACCGATAATCCATAGACAGGTCAAAATGGTTAATGAGTAAATCTATATTATAATGGTGGAATTTGAATATGTGGTCGTGTGTTTGATGATGTTGCAGAACGATAATACGCAGAAGAAAATAGTAAATATTGATAACCAAATAAAATGAAAGATAGATAAAGGAATAAACAAACAATTCAACTCAGGTAAAATATACCATAATCGATGGAAGGGTATTTTTGTTTTTATTAATTATTTCTACAATGAAACAAACTACAGGTGATAAAATACAATTGTGAAAATACAGTTAACTTCTATTATACGTAAAACAGAAATATGATAAAGACTACTGACTGGTACATAGAGGATAAATATATACACATAGAATATATATTTACAAATTTAAATGAAAAAATACAGATATAATATATTGTATGATATTGATACTGCCACGATTGCAATAGTCCGTTGTTACTGGTTAATTGTCGCAATAATTATGCAGATTATATTGAGATGAAAACACACGTCGAGCCTAGGATCAAATTCCAGTTGACCATATTACAGTGCCAATTAACAGTTTAATCATGAAAACGTTAACCACGTTATTTATCCACGCATTTAATCATCTTGTTTTCATTTATTTCAATAGAATAATTGTCTTTATACAGATTTATATCAACTATAGCCTGTTAAATATCACGATTGAAATGTTTCTATTATGATTATTCATTGGGACAGGTAATAGCAGTGTTTATCTTTATTGATAATATTAAATATCTCGAGTGAATAATTTCAACCGTGATATTGAACTTTAACCGATAACCGAGAAAACAATAGTAGTAGTTTGTTACGTACTTTACTGCGGGATTTTTTGTCCCGCTGGAACAGAGGGATTTAAATACCAATGAGATGAAATAATAGATGTTTTTTTATTGTGTATCAATACCAAACTGATGATTGTTTAAGCCTCATGGTGAGTCGAATTCCTAGTCAGGATGGCAACACGATATTATTTGTTACAGTATTTACAGTTCATTCAAGTTTATTTTTTTACGTATGCGATTATTCAGTATAGAACGATTTATCTGATAAATTACGTCGAACATTTCCAAGAATCTCAATTTTATTCTTCGATAACTCAGATTTAGTTTCTGCTGGTGGATTATTATTTATGAAGTATTATTCATTACAATTATTCATACAAGAACAATTCAATTACTTTTTTTTTATCTTGGAATAGATATTTTATTATCACAAATGAAAGCAAGAGATGGATATCTCGTGAGAATTTCTCTGAGAGCATAATTCATGTGGAAAAATGACAATCTATTGAATTTTCATCGAATGACTATTGAATAATTGAGGTTTCGTAATTTTCAATGTAATTTATCAGAGAATTTAGCTTTTTTATTGAATTTCGTTATGCGTGCACAACATAATGTTTTACTTGTTGTTTCACAACGATATGCCTATAAGTTATGAGAGACAATAGATATACAGATTTATTTAGTGTTGAGAGCCTGGTATAATTCAGAGTCAATGATGCAGATGAATATCATATTTATAAAACAATATAGAAATATACATAATCCGAAACATATACTGCCTTGTGAAAACCTAGGGCTCTCCCAGAAAACCCGTGAGCTCTTCTGAGAAATATGAGAATTTTGTGGCGAGGGCACTGGAATTTTCTATCCATTTTTTCATACAGAACAGATACAGTTGATACAGAGTCCGAAACGACTACCTCATAGCTTTTTTCAATGGAATTTTTACCGAACATGAGAGGTTCATTAAATATCGGTCCACTGAGGAAAATTTTGTGCTGAAACTCAGTAGAAATACCATTTTCCACAGAAAAATTCCCAAAGCTCTTGTACAATTCCTATCAACAATTCTATTAGGTTTAAATATTGACGTAAAAGACTAGTGATTTTTTATTACTCCATGGAATTTATTTATTTAAGATATTTTCTGCAGGAATTTCTCATCTTGAATGGTTTAAGTTTAACTTCAGGCGTTCAATGAAAGAAAATAATTTATTGAGACGTTTTCTGTAGAAAATAATGTTAAATATTTTCTGTGTGTGAAATGTGAAAAATAAAAAAAACTGGAATTGTCGATAGAAAATGCACAGAGATTCGATAGAATTTTCTGTTGAACTCAAGTTTTCTCATAAAATTTATTCTCGATTTATGAATAATAATAAATATTGATTTGACGCAGATAATTCAAGTTGATGTGAATAACGTGAGTTGCACTGTAGAAGTTTGTGACAGTTTTTGATTTGAAAATTCATTCGAGTAGATAAAATAACAATTGATATTGATATTTTTCGTCAGTCATTCGCGGACGAGAACTCTCACAATCGCACGTTTATGAATCTTTGTAGAAAATTATAGAAGCAATGGGATTCGACGCGATGAGAAATGGCGAAGACTTCCATCTCTGATCGTGAATTATGAATTCGGGGAAAAATTTAGCACTATTTGAAGGGGTTTTTTTTGGATGAAAATGGGGTGGGCTTTAGTAACATTGCGCAATGTGTCTTAAAGATGATGGGGTATCTTTGATCTGTCGATCATAATTTACCCGAGAGGTTGTAACGAACTTATGTAGCACCTCTGTACCTCTGATGGAAATCCGTGATTAAAGAACATTTGGCACACGTGTCTTCTCTTTTGTATATTAACAATATCTTTCGAGATTCTTAACGTATGAAATTATTCAATCGAATTTTATTCGTAATTTTCTATCGATTTCTGAATCGCAGGGAAAATGATTTCCCTCAATTTTCCAATTTTTCCAATTTCAAGGAAAGTTGAAAAATTTATTAGAATTTATAGGATTTCGTGGTTTTATTAATTATTCATTCATTAATTTATCGATTTTTAATGGATAAATTAATTAATTAATTGACATGAATTTTCAATAAAAATTGTGATGATAGAAAAATTCAACTAGAAATTCCCTAGAGCTTGAAAATAATTTCATACGCATTATCGTTTGCGGTCCTTTACATCCGAGCAATCATTTGATGTGCTGATACCTTCCATTACTGCATTACTTAAGTTTTTCGAAATCTTTTAGTGCAATAGGACCCACAATAATTAATTTGTATATTTTCACATCGTTAAATCGTCGTCCTGAAAATCGATGTGAACTATTCTGGGTTTTAGATAATACGAAGTCACGTGTTTGCAAATGATTATCATTACGATTATTATAACTATTATTGTAATTATTGGTTATTTCTTACGGAGACACAATGGATTGTTCCGAAAAAAAAAGAAATCGAGTAAATCGTGAATTTGTGAAATTATTATCTGCCACGATATGCAGAACACGGGATTCGGCGACAGGCCGAAAGATTTTGGAAAGAAAAAAATATCTAGATAATCAATGTAGAACTATGTAAAATTATTATAAATTTAACACTAAACCTAAACGATTGCAAAAGGAAATGAATACGTTGATGAGATTTTGTATAATGAGAGAGATTGGCAATATCAGATAGCGTACACGAGGAATGATAACAAGCCTTTACTAATTCGTTTACTTAATCAACGTTTTTTCTATCGTATCGATTCGACAATGAAAATATTTAGTATTATTTTCCTGATTCTCTGGTATGTACAATTCTCGTTAGTAATATCATTTGAAAAATCCTGGAAATTATTTCCTTAATTCCGTCATCAATTCTCACCTGAAATTTCTATATTAAATTAATTCACAAATGTTTCTCGTATGCCTAGATTATCCCGGTCTCTAAGGATTGTACATATTGGATAAATCCAAGGAACAAAGAAAATTATTGTACTGCGTATAAAGTAATATGTTGCATGTTATTAATACGATAATATGTGTTTAACGAATTGAAAATTTGGTAGATGTCGTGTACACAAGCTTTAGTGAAGCGTTCCCTCCTGGATTTCATTAAGAAGGATTCGGAGTATAAAAGGCATTCAAGTACGGAGGAAACTTTCCGCCTCGAATTCTCAGCTGAAACGCTATAAAAATTTTTGAAACATGGTTTAAAAAATTTGTTCACCTCATAAAACGACGATAAAATGACGCGAGAGTGATTTAGAGGGGGTAAATAATTTTAATTAATCTTCAAAAATGCGAGGTGAGCCTCAGAGTGATCAGCGCCATTTTGGGTACCCCCGCCCTCTGATACGAGGGCTTTCAAAGATGGCGAGGGTTCCACCTTGCATTTTTAAACAATCATTAAAGCTATTTGCGCTTTTCAAATCACGTTCAACTTGTCTCATTTTGTTCGGAACGATTGAACAATTTTGTGGAGCCATTTTGCAGACATTTCCACTGTTTTTCCCCTGAAAGCCAATCGAGCAATTTTTTCTTCGCGTTTTGGGTGTTTTTTTGTAGAGAGACCTCTTAATAAAAATCTTTAATCGATTGAAATCTCGGTGTGAACGAGAAAAAAAGCCTTCGAACTCACGATATACGTTTTCCCCGCACATCACGCCACAATGTCTTGAACTTTCACAGAGAGAAAAAAAAATGGAAAATGGGAAAAAAATTAAAAAAGGATAAAAAAAGAATATTATAAAAAAGTTATTGGTAAATTAAATGGATGTAATATACCGTTATTTTTACCGGGCATAATCAAAGGCAAGGATAAATCGAGAATCTAGATGTAACAGATCGTTTATTAACGACGTTCAATGCACACTGGCAATTATACAATTTCGCTCGTGTAGCTGATAAACATACCATAGGGATAAGAAACAAAAAAAAAAATTATTAAAATGCACGAATACTTGGTAAATTAGTTGGTCGCAATGCGGGACTTCGATTTAGGGGCGAAACGACGTTCGATCGTCGTTGTTTATAGTACAAAATTAGATGAAAAAGAAAAAAAATAGGGAAAAAATAACGTAGAGTTAAGCAATGCGTAATGTTGAAGAGTTGAGACCATTAATGCTCCCAACATGATTAAATCCTTGTTCACGACTTGATCGACTAGTCATTATGGATGTTCCAAGGAGACCCATAAATTCGAGAAAAAAAAAGTAATAAATAGAGAAAAGATGAAAAATAATAATGAAAAAATCCTCTCTTACCAATGGACGCAATGAAGCTGTGAACCAGAGAAACACCTGTTTTCAATGATTCACAATGTTTCGTTACCTTAGTACAAACACTACCTCATACATGAGTAATACAGGGTGCACTGATGAGAAATAAATAAAAAAAATGATGGAAAAATAAAACCAATAAATTATAAAGTTGTAAATATGCGTTGAAAGTGGTATTTCGCGTATAACTGAGCTCAGTAATAAATGGAAACATACAATTTAAACAGATCAACTTTAATGGTTAAGATAATATTAAAATGCTCCGATGAACGTTAGTGAACCCTAGTACAATTAGAATATCAGTCATAAGAATAAACCAAAAGTCATTGGGAATAATCGACAGTTGGATATTTATTCCAAATCGTTTGATATGACCTTTATGAATCCTCTTCTCAGGAATAATGAAAATCAAGTACAAAACTACAATTTATAATAATCTATAGGTAACAGTAACAATAAATCAGACAATGCAATAGACAATTTTATTGAATTAGGGGAATAATATATGAATAACGTACGAATTTAATGGGATAAATGCATTGTACGTTTGAAAATCATCAAGACTTCAGCGCAAGTTAATGGGGATAAATCCCAGTAATGACTCTCCCTTATTTTTCTTTTTAATTTTTCATTGTTATGATTTATTATTTGTCAAAATGATGATCAGTGAATTTATGTTACCCATTATTTTCTCTTTCTTTTTTCATGATTATTAACGGTTGATTATTAGTTGCTACCTCAATATGTTTCTACGAAGGCTCATAATTGTACAGATTAATAGCTTTACGATTTAATTACTAGGATTGTTATCATCATTATTAGTTATTAATTATTATTACGATCATATCATTATTGTCTCCCAGCAGTACAAGATTTTTTTACGTTTACTTCAGGTTTTAACACGAAGTATTATTATTCATTCAGTTTATGATAAAATCTGTTGAGTTAATGTTGAATTGTTTCTGTTCTAATCGTATCGTTTTTACTCGCTCCATGCGCTGGACGCTTCAGTGATTAATCAAGATCAGTTCATACTTTATCTCTTACTGAAGGCAAATAATTAGTTGATGTACTAATTTTCATGATATGAGAACGATTGAGATTTCAGAGGTAATTGGAAAATGAACAAGAATAGAATAAGGCCCCCGGTTTCGTCGTCCCGCTGTGACGTGAGGAAATATTGAAAAATTAAAAAAACTTATTGAAAATTTAAGGAAATAATGATATTCTTGGATTGTAGTCCTGTTCGGTGATACGATTACAATTGTACATCCGGGGAAATTTTTTGGTTGAATCATTTTTTTTTTCATTCGAATGAATATTTTTGAGGGTCAACTGTTGCGATTTTTTAAAATCAATTTTATTAATAAAAAGAAATATTAGGGGGGAATTCATGATTTATTCGATTCGAATGGATAATATTCTTGACTCAAACAAATAATTTCAATTGAAACTTTTTTGATCTCACGTGCCCTAAAATTTCATAGGAAATTCAAATTTCTTTTCAAATTATTCGTTCTATTCAATGAAAATTGCCGGACATAACTATTTTGTTAATGGTTGATTTATCCCCACAATTAGTCATTTGAGAGGAAAAAGTAGTCAGACTTTTTTATAGCTGATTAAATTCCCCTCAAGAAATGTCTTTCGACATATTCTCCTAGAATCAATGCTTTCAGCAATAAATCGACATTTAATCAACCCAAAATAATCGTTAAAATCGTCGGATAATTTTTCTATGAAATTTTCCGGTTCATGTCAAAACAGCAATTACTCCGGGTGTAGAATAGCTTTTTTTTCGTTGCCTTGTCTTCTTCTTCGATGACTATAATTTATATTCTGAGGATCTCGTGTCAAGCGTTACAAGAATAAAGAAGTTTACAATATTTAGATAATGAAAAAAAAAAAATAGTTACCAATTTTGTTTTAAATGATGAATAACGTTCATGTTTCGTACTACGACGAATATGAAAGAGTGATTCATTATTGTTGGAATTGTTAATTGGTATTTTGATCGATGATAATATGGAATGACGTTTTTTCTCAATTCCAATGATAATGCTAATGGGTATTGTAGTAACAATTCAGATGGATCCATTGTACGTCGAGTGTATTCTAGGGGATTGATAGCACTCTTTTTTATATTATTAGAAATTATTTTTTATTTATACGAGTGGATGAATGTGGTGACAGTTTGGACTCAGTACTTGTGTACGTGGATTGGAAAGCTGTTATTATTAAAGAACTTGATAAATCCTCGATAATCTGCTGCTTTATGAGTACCAGACTGGAGCTGGTCAATTGCTTTTATGGCTAATACCTAATATTCCAATCAGATATTCGAGGATAAGCAGTTGGATGGATGAATATTGAAAAATGATTAACGATTGAGGCAGATACGTAGTGACAGAGATCCATGAAATTAATAATAAAAATTTGAGTGTAACTCTCGATTATTTCTTTATCCCTCTCGGTTTGTACACTCATCGTATTTCATTATATTATTGATAACTGTTCCATTTACTGTAAGACAAATGAAATTACCATTAATTATTATGATTATGAAATGAATAAAAGTGTTTGTTCTTTTATTTGAAACCTGTTTTATCGTAATTCGATGATTAAATATGATGATGGAAGGCTGAAAATCACTGGAGAACTGAAGTTGCAAAGTTTTATTTATTATTTAAATACAAACAAATCTGGATTCACACGTTCCCATGCACGTAACAAAGAACAAGTATCAAATAGCCTTACTATTACATTGAGAATAAGATTCTCAGATTCGATCAATTGACAGAAAAGAACGCACGTTCTTTGTTGAGCATTTCGATTGTGGAGTATTACCCAATTTATTAACTCAATATATTTTTAGTCAAGTCAAAAATTCGTTAATTCTTTTATTCTCTGCATAAAATTCGGATTTACCGTGATTTCTGGATATTTCTGGATAATTCAAGGAAAATAAATATTTTCATTGTTTAAAGTAAAAAAAAAATAGTATTTTCCGCCACGTATTGGACGATTTTTTAAATAAAAAAGACAAGAAAACAATAGATTTAGTCATTTGATACGGTTTTTACCACGTGTTTGTGGTAGAAAAATTTATAATAAATTTTTATAGTGAAGAATGAAAAAATAGGCAAAACCCCAATTAATTCGTAATGGTTTAAGCGTTAGTAGATGGATTTTCATGTACTCCTCGTGTTGTGAAAATGATAGAGGAATTACAGATGAATTCATGAGTTAATCTGTCTATTAATATCACTCTTCTATCTATTTTATCTCACTCAATCCTCAAAAGGATTTCTAAAATATTATTTCCCCGTAACACGAATATTCTCTCACTCACGAACAATATTAAATTCTTCATTAAAACCATTTACCTCAGCTTAATAATAATTCCTAATGAATTTGATTAATCGAATACTGAATGAAGGGAAAACCCTCGAAGTCGCACTCGTCGATGCGATTATTCAATAGTCTCTCGGCGTCTTTTGAACACTTTTCACCACATTTTTTATTCCAGAATTGAACTCGCCACTGGCATTCGCTGGAATATCCCCAAGGGACTTGGAGATCCATCGACTTTTCACTAGTTTGCAATTCCCTAAGACTGGAAACTGCCATTCATTCGTTGACATTTTCTCACGTCTTTTTTCTTGAGGGATTTTATTAAATGAGTCTTGACACTTCATTGGAGAGTTTTTATGGGAACCCGTTAGATTTAGAGAGCTCTCTTCACAGTTTTGTTCTTCTTTGGAGGGCAGATTTTTCAAATTCGATTGAAATTCGATTTCCCATTGAGTCTGAGTCGTTTCACTACCGTCTACCAGTCGATTATTTATATTCTCTGCTCGATGTTCTAACTTTAATATTTCCTGTAAGCAAAATTAATTATTTTATCAATTTCATTGAAAAATTGAAGAAATAGAACTCCAAATCAATGAGTTATCATTAGTGAAATTTTAGTTATTCATTTTTCTGGATGGATTAATAAATTAATAAATCAGAGATTAATCGCTACCTTATTAGAATCATCTTCATGATTTGAATTCATGTCCGGAGTCAACAGTTCTGCCCCCACCCCTGGCTCTCGTGGTCCATTGGCTTGAATATTAAAAGCCACTCATTAATCAACACGTGAATAATGTCATGGAATTAAAGAATACAATACAACACAATTTTCTTTAATATTAAAACAAATATTCTTGGAGTTGGAGCGATTTTAGAGTGAGAAATTTTACCGTAGGCTCTTCGATGCTCATGAATCTGATTGCTGATGTCCTCCAGAGCCTTAAAACTCTTGGCATAATTTCTTTTGGCGTCCCTGATAGCTTTCTTGAGGCAGTCGACTTGCTGCTTCTGCATCTCAAATTTCTCATTGTAAATCGTCCACACCTCGAAATAGGGCCGGGCTTTGATTATCGCTCGTTGATATTTTTTCTGGTATTCCTGGGCTTTCCTTTCTGCATTGTGAAATATCAGGGCTTTTTGCAGGTGTTCTTTTTCACACTCTGCTTTTTGATTCGCTGCGTGCATCACCTGAAGCGCAATAATAAATGAAAAATTAACACGGTAATATTTTAATTCATCATTGCAGGTGAATTAGCATCACTGGAAAAGTCTCAAGAGAATTAAAATATTATCGAATAACATCACAGGGGATCACCCATTAGTTTTCTTGCACTTGCAGGATTTCTCACAATTTGCTGACGTCGCCTCACCTTAGTTGTCGCTTGGTTCAACATATCCTGCCACGACTGATCGAAATTCGCTTCCTGCTTGCTGGACATACATCTCAATTCTGCAGACGCTGCACTCTTTTTAGCAGCTGCATGGAATTCGCTAGCTCTTTGAAAAAGTTGCACTTGCTGTTGACACTGCACCTAGAATACAATTACCCCATATTAATTGACACGGTAAAATTGAAATCACTAAATTATTTTGGTCATTTCATTATTATTGAACTGAAATGTAATGGAAAAAATGGGCTAGGATAAGATAGAATTTCTGGAGAGTTTGGAGAGAAATTATTTTGTTTTACATGTTCTTGATGACTCACCTGAGCTCGTCGTGCTTCTTCTAGGGCTTTGTAATAGCATTTCGCCTTATCAACACAGCTAGAACCTATTTTACTGGTGATTTCGCTCAACTGGCTGTCTAAATCCGAGTATAACTGTTTGAAGAGTGATTGGGCTTCCTGTGATTCATGAGTAGAAGTTTCTTATTCGTTTATACACACTGTCATAAAAAATGGCATTTCTGGCTATTTGGACAAGAAAATTAGCGAAATCTCTGACTTCACTGAATTTCGTTGTCAGAATTTAATATCAATGAATTGTCAAATTTCAGGGAAAATTCGCGTTTCTATTAATTTTCAAGGGGAAGTGGACGGGAAATTTACAGGTGTTTGATTTTTCCCTTGTTTTTATTTAAACTTTTATTTATGTGGGTTTTAAGGAAGTGAGGAATTAATTGACCCATTTCCTGAGATTTATTTTCTCCTGAATTAAAACTGAATTAATTTCCTCCCTGCGAACTCAACCCCGAAATTTATCCACTTCCGCATTCATATGTGATGACTAAACAAATAAATCTTATCTGCAAAAACGTTAACGCTCACATCCAATTCGCTCTCGAGTTTGTTTATATCTTCAGTGGCACTGTTCAGGTTTTCCAGCTCGATCTGTAAAAAAATACCTTTAAAAAATCAAAACTCTCGAGAAAATTCGATTAGATTTTCGTTAAACTCAGTTAAATATACAATACAAAATTCTCATTTCATGTTTTTCATTCTATTACTTTCATTCGGAAATTATCATTAATGTTCCGGTAGTTATTTGATGATTTTTTTTAACTTTGAAAATTGAGGTATAGTTCAATTTTGCTCTTCGATATTTTTTAAAGAAGATTTTTTAAACATTCAATAATGCCCACCTGTATCCTTGGATCCAGAGCATCTCCAGTGTCACCCATGAATTCCATAGTTTTCCAGTAAATTATTAACCCATCACAATCTCAGAATTCCTCATCCCATCAATTCCCAATCAATCTGCATTGTCATCCTGTAAAATGCCCATGACAGGACCCCGAGCACATCCTGAGGCTCCTCAATCTGCAGTAATCATCACCAAAATTGGAAACCCACGACTTTCTCAAAAAAAAAACAAAAATCGCGTCGATCTGGTCCTCACCCCACAAATGGCTGCGACTATTTCAACTCATTCTGACGACCAGCAGGAGAGGAATCAAAGAGGATTGACTAAAGTAGAGGCTCAGTTCTGGGGGTTCGAGTGACCCTAGCGGCATCGTAGTACTGCACCCCAAGAGAGGGAGGGCGTCAGACGCAATGGGGGTGTCTGCCCATCAGCCAACTTGGTAAGTTACCCCCATTGCGTGTGGCGCCATCCCTCTCTTGGGGTGCAGTACTACGATGCCGCTGGGGTCACTTGAACCCCCAGAACTGAGCCTCTACTTTAGTCAATCTTCTTTGCCCCCCGAACTGAGCCTCTAGTCAATCCTCTTTGGTCATAGCATAACAGCTGATATAAATTCGTGGGTGTAAATACTGTAACCATAATAATACCAAATAAATAGAAGTTTGGAACATTACCGGATTGAAGATGGCAGGAAGAAATTTATCCCGGTTGTTAACAAAAACACCAGTTTCTCGTGTCCCCAGTGTCTCAATCATCACTCGGTCGAATTCATCTTGGGAGCCTAAGGATAAGGTCACCCATACTGGCCAGGTACGTCAAATTTTTCCTTTCCAAATTTTTAGCATGATCCGAAGGCTCTGAATTATTCGTCACACCGGATTTACTCCACATATCTTTAATTCATGTTTGCGCCGAGTGAAAAAAAATAGCAGATAACCTGAAGAATAATTATTTATCTTGTACACTGCAGGGAGTGATTGAATCAGTGATTTATTTATTAATTTTTATTATGAAGTGATTCTTAAGTATTATCTAGATGATTATCCTTTCTTTTTTAGATATTTGAAACTGACGACAAAAGACTCGTACGTTTCGTCGACAGGCCAAAGGAGGTGAATGATCGTTGGGCAATTAATTTAATTGATGAAGTTCCTCCTATGCCTACCGAAGCAAGAATCGTCTGTTGCAATGGAGGAGGAGGACCCTTGGGTCACCCAAAAGTCTACATAAACTTGGTCAATTAAAAACTACCTCTAACAATTTGCAATGAGTACTCGCTGATTTAAAATCTCATCCTGTAATTTTCGTATTTTCTCTCTTTCAGGATAAACCTGGCAATCATGCCTGTGGATACTGCGGTCTTAGATTCACAAAAGAGGATCATCATTAGCTCCCAATTATCGTAGTATGATCACAAATAAAAATAGTCTTTATAATTTTACCAAATACTTAATAAAAATCCATTGAATTTCAAATTGTGGAGTATTTATCTGGATGTTCTTTCCAATAATTGCTCGCTAATTAAAAGATGAATGAAAAGATTTCGAATGAAGAATAAATAATAAGAGTTGAATATATTGCGTAATGGTTTATTGACTCACCAAGTAATGTACAAATAAGTACAAATGTTAAAACGATGTTAAAAAATGAAAATCATCTTACCAGACAACGATCATGATTACAGTATTTTATTTGTTACTTTTCAATAAATGTTATGAATTTTAGGTTACAATACTGCTGTGATTTCACTTAATAACTTGGCACTGGATTTTCTACGCACCCATGAGATTAGTTTTCCATGATTAAAAAAAATAATTTCAGCTCAATCAATTAAGTAACATCAGTAACGAAGAGGGAAATCGATTCGAGTTAATATGATTTCGAGATGAGTTGTTGAGGAATATCTCCGAATCTGAAATAGTGGTATTCTTGAGGGTTTTATTTTTTTCATTATTTTCAATCTCATCGACGAAAATTTTGCTGTACCTATCAATTTCGGAGGTACTCCTCGATAACTGATCTCGAATGAAAATCCCTAAACCCGTTTTATCTCTTCGTTACAAAAATAGGGCCTTCAACGTCAGTAGATTAAAAATAGTAAAAGGGTTTATGATTCGTTGAAAACGTTGATTAATCTAAAATATATTTAAGATAGAAAAAAAATTATTTACAGAACTAATGGATTTCCCTTACTCATCTAGCTTGGAAGATTCGTATAAATTTTCTTAATAAATAGTTTATGTACATTAATATTATGAAACCAAGTTTAAAAAATGATCTCACCCATAGTAAAAATTAGCACTGTGAAATTCAAATTTGATCATCAAATGAAAATCGATAATATAATAATTATAAAAACTACAAGAATCAATCATTAAAGTCATTAACTAATCATAAACATTATCAACGTGACAATCAAGCCTACATAATTGATAATGAAATCTCGAAATGTATTAGACCGGGTAACGATTAAAAAATAATATCTCTAAAATTCGTTATCGCATACTTCACCATTGAAATCGCAAGCGCGTCATTTCAAGAATCTCCCACATATTATCCCAAAAATTATCAATCTCAAAAATTAATGCATTTACAAAAAAACCTTTATTTTACTGTAAACGTAATATTTAAAAAATATAAAAATTAATTTCAGAGATATCCGAAGAATGGCATTTTCCGAAAGACTAAATGACTTGGAATCTGATAAATCCTTGAAATATCTCTGGAACCCAAAAAAGTAAATGGACAAAGTGAGGCATTTATATTTTTTTTATAATTTTCAATATTTTGGTATATGTAAAAATATTAAAAATGGGAGTCAATGGAAACCATTTCACTTCACTCTGTTATCCTCTAGTTTCATTAGAAAATATCGAATAATTTTTTTTAAAGCTTAATAATTCCTTTCTAAAAAACCCATCTCATATTTTTCGATAACGGTCCTAGTTTCAGAGACATTCAAGAATAACGCACTTGATAAAGAATATAAAAAAAATCTAGAGATAAAGATATCGCGGGCGATCCAGAAGCATAGCTGAATCCCCTTTAGTACCACATAATCCTTATTATCAGATAAAGCAATTGATTTTCAGGACCTCGTGTTTCCACGCGTTCCACTTTCAGTGCCTTCTCACAAATTAAAGCATTATCGATGCAGCTATTCTCCTCACCTTTTTATTCAGCCCCCTGTGCACTGGTCCCCTCATTCCTCCTTTGAAGTCTCTCCGGGTGGGAGCAAGCAAGCTGACTAAAGTCCCTGACAACGTCGTTAAAAGTCTCGTCTCCAGTAACACCGATCTCCGAGTCCTTCATCTCCTCATTGAGTAATCCCAGTCTCAGTAACGTCACAATATCAGCATTGGCCTCCTGGACAGCAATAGACAGGGGCTTGACTCCTCTCTCATCCTCAATATGCTGATCAGCCCGATGTTTAAGCAATAAGCAAACTTGTGCCGTGTGACTTAGCTCGGTGGCCAAATGAAGAGGTGTCTTGCCCTTGGCATCCTGACAATTGATTCTGGCGCCATTCAGTATCAAATACTCGCATGACATAACAGATCCACTAATGATGGCTTGATGCAAAGCATTCCTTCCTCGATCGTTGATATTGCACCAGCTCTTATCAGCTCCTGCAGCCAGTGCAGCACACATAACAGGGAGATTGTGGGCGGCAGCTGCTTTATAAAGCAGCATATCGGCATGGAGATTTTCAATGTCCTCCTCGTCTGCAAACTCCTCCTCCTCTCCAGCGGTCGAGTCTTGGTCCGAACTCAATTCTAAACTTCCTTCTATCATTGGTTTGGGGAGATCACACCCAAACATAAGAACATCCGAATCTTTATCACTGATTTTCTCAGTGCCAGAGTCCTTGTTCTCGTCATCATCGTCGATCTCGTTGGATATCGATATCTCCTCGGGGCTCTGGGATTTTCTGGAGTCACAGGAGTCATCGGAAATCTGGCTCTTTCGTTTTTCCAAGAAGGGCTTACTGTAGAGGGTTGAGATGTTCTTGAGATCCAGGGGTTCACTGTCCTCGGAGCTCATGGAGGTTCGTTCAGGGTTTTTGGTTTTGTCTGATGACTTGTCTGAGGATTTGTCTGAGGTTAGACTGTCATCAGAGTTGCCCGGAAGGGTGAGTTCGGTGACGGAAGCTAAGCCTGATACCTTGGACCTCGACTCATCGATTTTATCCTGACTTCTCGGTCTCCTTCGCAGCTTCCTCACACTCCACCTCCGAAATCTGTTAACGTCTCGACTTGTGTGTTGACTTATTCCAGTAGCAAATGTTGTGATGGGCTTGACGAATTTTCTGTCGACGTATTTGGCTTTAATCCAAGCTTCTCTGACTGCCGAGGAGCACTTTGGGGAGGCTTTGGTTACTGAAGGTGGGGTGAGATTTGCGGGCTCGTAGACATTATTTACGACGTTGTTACCGAGTTCTGCCATTACTTTAAGGATCTCCGGCTCCCAATCATCGAGGGTTAGTGATCGAACTTTGCTGTAGTGAACGCCCAGGCTTCGGTGTACCCCAGAGCACTCGATGCACAGAGTTATTCCTAAATTTATGCTGGCCCATCTAGGATTGGAGTTGCCGCAGTCGCAGCAATGGTCATTGCCAGGAATTTTTAAGAGCTGCTCCCAGACTCGGGATTTTGGCCTAGATGGGGGCCTGATAGGACCCTTGGAGTTAGCAGGAAGACTATTTAAATTGATCGTCCCCATGCCCCTCTGGATGGCAGCTCCAATAGCCTGTTGAGTAGCTGTAATCCAAGCCAGATACATCTCCTCAGAGTCGGCCTGAAGCATGTGGCTCTTGGTAGGGCTGAGTACTTCAAAACAATTCCTCCTCTCATTATCAACAACTGGCTTGACCGTGCACAGACGCAAGTCTTCCTCCATAATTGTGAAGTCGTCTTCCCCAGTTCGTTTTCGGTACACCAACTGATGATCTCTCAAACAGAACCATCGTCTGTTCCAGGTCTTGAAGGCATTGCTTGTCCGTTTGAAGAGATAGCCTTCCATTTTCGATGTACCAGGGAAGCTTTGGGGCACTAGGTCTCTGCTGGTGACCAAAATATGCCGATTCTCCATCTCTTTTTCAAGCTTCGACGAATCGCAACGCATTCTTGCTAATTCAGTGCTCAGATTCTTCAGGAAGGGATCCAGATCCTGGGCTAGGTCTGTCCCCTGATGGTAGTACGTAAAACATGCGTGTATGTAGCTCAGAAGACTCCCCAGAATTTCGTGACGGCGACGAGAATGGAGCATTGTCAGGGTGTGGATGTAATCCAGGGCTGTGTGACGAAAGCAAGAGCGTGTCGCTGAAAGAATATTTGAGGATTCTTCGTACTCCGAAGGACGGGATTTCGGGATCTGGGAGGTGCGGTTGAGGGCAAGGTCAAGGTCATTGGAAATCTTCTCGAAATAGTGACGAGATTCTTTCACTTTTTTCATGTCAGTTTTTATGAAAAGACTGAGGTCTTTGACTACTGTACGAGAAGCTTGATCCAAAAGTATCGTGTGAAACTTGTTCATCTCCTGCAGGGCGTGAATCAATTTGTTCAGGGACGCCATCACCTCTGGATCGTCGTTAAAGTACGTGGATAACTCCCAGAGGCTTGTGGCAAATTGGCTGTAATAAGGAAAATTGGTGGAGTGATTGGAGTGAATTCATTTCGTCACCGAGGGAATTGAAGTTAAGATTCACCTGATTAGGATCATTCGTTAATTGGTTATTTAGTAAATCAGTCATATATTTCGGGCTCATAGCGTTCCAACTTCTTTAGTTAATCGCTTTATCATTTAGTTTCGAGAAAAAAGTTCAAATTTTTTTTTCGTTGAAAACATTCTCTCACATGAATGTTTTTTTTACGAATTTTACCTTGAAAGCAATTACTGCCGAGATATTTCCATAATGAAAAAAAGATAAGCGTAAAAATTAATAAAAAAAGATATTATTGTGGACGGACGATCTTTCTAAGAAAATCGATAATTTACAAGGACAATATTATTCGACGAATTTAATGAATACGTACCATTTTTTTCTTGTCATTATACACTTCGTCTAGTTAAAACAAAAGACTTTGAAAACAGTCTCATAAGATATTTTAATCAAATCCAAACATTATCGAGATGTTTTTTGAATAAATAAAATTATACCCGTGGAATGTCATTAAAAAAAGGTCATTGCACTTGACAAAAAGTTGAAAACCTTGCTGGCAATTCAATTTTATTGTAATTGAACGATAAAAATAATAAAATTCCCAGTTGTTTGTGGAAGTCTATCAGTAAAAAACAGAATCACGTTATTTGATTGCACTGAATCCTATGTTTCAACCAAGAACGAGTATGACTCACTCACAACTCCAGACCAGTAATTTATCTCCCCCATTTAATGAAACCATTAATCAGTTTGTGGTACTCGTTGCTCACATACCTCTGATGTCCCACGTATATTTTGCCTGCATCAATCATCGAATTGCAATTTTTGAGCACCTGAAAATACAGTCAAAAAATTGTTAAGCAATAGATAAAAAAATTGAAAAGCCGATGAAAAAGATTGAGAGCGGATTAAGTGCTGACCTTATCCAATTTCTGCTCCAATTGATCGATGTTAGTCTCTACTTTCTCGATACACGATCTGAAATAATTTAATACCCATCTTTTCATATTTTCAAATTCAATTAACAACAACACATCGCAATTACTTTGAGATTCTACAATTCTTTCATGTGGGTCAACTGTTGGTGAGAGAATCACAAAGGAATCATATCAGATTGTAAAAGTGCATTTATGGAATTGCTGAAAAATTCCGTGAATTTTCAATTGATTGATAATTTAAGAAAAATGTTTAATTCATCACAAATATTTTGTTCAGATTTTAAAAATTCATTTTCATGCTTTTTCAATGATTAAATGAAATAACTGATGGAATTATCCACCTAAATTTTGGCGTATCCCGAAGGCACTCGTCAAAATCAATTAACGCATTCATTTTTGTTGATTTTACACTCGACACTTGCACTTGAGATGTCTCAGACAAATACGACAATGCTAGAAAATATATTACAATCACTTCTTAATTATGGTCATCATAACAACAAATTAAATCCTCGACTGAAATAAAGGGAAGACCAAACACTTTCCAAATGCTGTCAAAAACGTTCAACGGAGTCAAGAGCGAAGTTGTCTTTTTATCAGAAGGAATGCCAACCTGAAGTTGTAGTGCTCAGTGTTTTGACGGTTTTAGCATAATAAAAACATCCGCGGAGTATCCAAAATAATTAAATTTGAATACTTCAGGTTTTGTTGAAGGTAATTATTGATTAAACATTTAAGAAAAACGCATGCAATGGTTACATCAAGAAGAATTATCATTTTAGTATGTAGTGGCTCGACGTTATAACTTATCATTCATTTTATAACCTCAACCCTACATTACATTGATGTTCTCCCATCTAGTACAAGCGGTTTCAATCAAATTTCTAAGTACAAAATTGAAAAATATGTGTTGTTCAGTTAAACTGTCGAATTACAGAGACTAGTCTCCCCTTAATTGCCGAGGATACAAATGACAGCTATTTTTATTCTTTATTCAGAATCTTCACCTCTTAAAGTGAATTAATAATTTCATCTGGCATATTTAAAATTCCCTTACGTTTCATTTTCGATGGGGATCTATCGAAATTCTATTCTATAATAGATAATAGATCTGTTCTATTTTATTCCACACGGCTTTATGTTTACTTCTTGCTGAGGTAAGTGCATAGAAGAACATTTCCAAATTGATAACGAGCACGATAATCCGAAGCTTTGTCTTTATCGATCCGTCAATCATCTCGGATCTTATTTCCCTGTCTCCCTTTTGTTTTAGGTAAAGAATTCAATATGACTGGGTCTGCAACAGAGTCAGTACCTGCTGAGAAATCCTCAAACAATCCATTGGAACAATTTGTTCTGCTGGCAAAAACAGCAAAAGGTGCAGCAGCCCTAGAACTGATAAAACAAGCAATGGAAACTCCAGGAGTTAACGTGTTTGGAGAACTCCTCGATATGCCCAACATAAAGGAGCTGGAAGTCGGTCCCCATGTGGAGTATTGGAATACTTTAAACATCTTTGCTTATGGCACCTATAAGGATTACCTCGATAACAAGGATAAACTGTTAGAGCTCACTCCAGCACAGAAGAAGAAGCTGCAGCATTTAACCATTGTCACATTGGCTGAAAAATCCAAATGCATTCCTTACTCGGTTCTGCTGGAGGAACTGGATATCAAGAATGTGAGGGATCTCGAGGACTTGATCATCGAGGCTGTCTATGCTGACATCATTCATGGCAAATTGGATCAGAAGAATTCTCAGCTGGAGGTTGATTATGCAGGATTAGGAAGAGATGTTAGGCCAGGGGAGACTGGGGCTGTCGTTCACACTTTGGCGGCCTGGGGAGAAACTTGTGATGCTGTTCTCGCTTGCATTAAAAAACAAGTCATTGAAGCTAATACTGAAAAGCATAATGCCACGCAGCACAAGGAAAAAGTCCAGCAGAGTGTAAGGAGAACACTAAATTTCAATTTGATCGTTCTGTAAAAAAATCATTTTACGATAGATTGCATCATCGTCATGTACTCGACTATAATTTTTATGTTTTGACGATTGTGAATTAAGATTTATTAATTGAAGTGATTTCAATATGTTGATATCAGATTATGGGATTTTTACGGTCGATGATGGTTTTTGGGAAGAAATGTGATATTTAGTTATTTTAATTTGTAGATTTTTTCGATGAGGAAGTCGATTTTATCACAAGTACAAGAGGCTGACATTGCTGGTGGCAGCTCAGCTGGGGGCAGTGAGTCAAGCAGAGAGGCCGTTTCCATTCCTCCAGATTCGAAGAAAAAACAGCAAAAAGGAAAAGGGCTGAGGGGTAGTGGTAAGTTCTGGAAGTCCTAAGTTAAGAGCAGTTTCGAAAAAAGAAAAACTTTCTCGGTCTCCTGGTCTCTATGAAAACTCTACCGTGAAAATTGAAAATTCCGTTGGCTATTCTTCAGATATCCGCTAAGAGTTTCTTTTGAGTTTTCAATTCCCTTCTTTTTGTGATGTGTAGTTAAACGAAATCTAATTTTAGTTTTCGAAGATTCATTGTGCTTTTTCGAGGCCAGGAATGTAATATATGTTGATAGATACTTTAATATAAAAGTATGAAATAACCATTAATGCAAAATAAAACGGCGGAAAAACGAACAATTTTTTTTTCCTAAAATTTCACATGAAATGTCATGATATGTAAGTCTCTATAAAAAATCATCGAAACACTTGTATTTCGTAATAAAAACGCTTCTGGAAATATAATAGTCAATTTGATAATTTGTGGCCGTGTAAATTTGTCTTTTCAGACCCTGGAGCCTCAATTAAAAAAATCTCTCGATTAGTAATCGTAGTTAGTAGTGAATTATAAATCACGTTGTAAGATTCACATCTTCCAAGTGTTTTTATCTATTTTTAAAATATCTTCGAATCTAATGGCCTTCCGAGGAAAAAAGATTTTTTATAACTTAGAAAAGTGTATGAAGAATGTTTTTTATATTTTATCCTAAAGTCTTATTTTTTGAGATATTTACACAATTACAAAGGATAAAAATCGAACAGTTCTAGGAATAAAAAAGGCTATTATTTTAATTTTTAAATGAAATGGCGATTTTCAGGAACTGCGAATGCTCAAAATGGTAGCATGAAGTGATAACCACCGATAATTGGATACATCGAATACAATGAATCCTGAAAAATCGAAAAAATGGGGCGGAACGAGTAAACGTTGTACATGGAATTTATCAAATAATGAATAAAATTTATTATAATTTTTTTATTTACGTAAGAGTTTTATCGACATTTATTTCTTAACTTTCATATTCACCAGATACACTTTGAATCCTGTACGTATTTAAAATAACACCATTATATTTTTATTTTTTGTCTGTGAGTTTGTTGATATTGCCCTGCATCTCGAATTTGCGTATTTATTACCTTCTCTAATTAATAATCTCTTTCATCATTTCAAGCTTCAATATTTCTTAACAATTACATAAGTATTTAATCATTGATTTTACACTTCAAAGCTCACGAAGCTGATATCCACGTGCCTATATTATTCTTCGTAATTCAATTAAAAGTTTCTATTCAACACCTTTTGAATATTTACAATTATCTTTGGGCAGTCAAACAACTTCGAACGTTCCAATTGCATAGCCGTATTTTTGCATCACAAAAATCAATCAGTTACGTAATTTTCAAATCTATTCTTCGAGTTTTGTACTGAATTCATGGCTAACCGAGAACAAGGGGCTCAGAATGTTTCGCTTAGCTCTGAATTTTATCTCGAGGATAACTCAAAACTTGTAGCAAAAAATAATAAAGACCACTCTAGGAAAATTCATGTCAATTATCTTGTGAATATTTTTTGTAAAAAATTTCCTAAATATTGCCATGAAAAAGGAATAAATAAATTATAGTTAACGCATGCCCTCTTCTCATTTTATAAAAAAAAAACATTTTCTCTTTGAAAGAAGAAGTGATTAATCACCAAACTATTGTAGTCACTCGTCATAATTGTGCAAAATTCGATCAGAAATACAATTCCTTGAATTTCGTACATGAGAAATTACAAAACAGATGATTGATGATGATTTCGTTCATAATTATAAAATCTGCATTGGACGATATTGTGATAATTCGGATAAAGATAGATCGGACGTCCTGATGAATCTAAATAAAATTAACAACTTATCCTGAATTCAATTCCAAGAGACTGTAGATTCGTCTCTGAATTGTAGATTCAATGGTAATTAACGCTTAATGATTCGACACTTCGTTGACGATTGAATGTAGATGTACATTTTACATTTATACCCATCACATATTCCCTTATCTAGTCTTATTACTTGTAAATAAATTATATGTACAAGTCGTATTAGGCATTAATTAATTATCGATGTCATTATTTATCAATTACTCGATGTAATATTTACAATTGATTTCCCTATTTATCACTGCTATTTGAAGATGAACAATTGGAGATCATCGTTTTGTACAAAATGATAATTAACGCGAAATTTCGCTAATAAAATTTGGCATAATCTCGCGTCTCGTTGACTCCATATCAATTAATGGCATTATTATGCCTACATTGTCTAATAGTCAATTTACATATTTTTAATTATTTAAAATTTAATTTTCCATGAGTTTTGAAGCTCACAATAACGAAGACACTGTAGAAAATTTTCGTCCATTATTTTTTTGTTATTTTAAATATGTATTCCTAGTTTATTCTTAATTAGGTCAATTCACTTACGTATTTCAACACATTTGAATGGTAATACATTACATAATTTTATCATCACAGTGCAGAATGAACCGTTTATTCATTTCCTTTATTTCGCTTTATTCATATTTTTCTATGGAGCACTAGAAATTTTTTCCATTTTTCAAAAAAATTTTTCTTTATCGGTTAATTTTTTGTTTATCCTCCTCTTATTACGACCGAGGACTAATTTCAATTGAAGAGCGGATTTTTTTTTTCAATAGCAATATATTTCAGTTAGCTAAATAAATTTCTCTTCAAGCCGAACTGGTAACGAGGGGAATATTGAAAAAAAACTGACAATTTGATACAAACTTTTTCCCAATTAATGAATTTATTCAGACGGTGTTTGCAAAATTTGACAACCCCCAAAAATAGGACAATAACAAAACCGAAAACTAAAGTTGCGTCTCATACACGAATTTAAATGGTACATCGACAATTATAGTATTTTTTCACATAACTTTATCCATTATATAAAAAAATATATTATTATCGCTGATCGCTTAGTTTCAATCTGCAAACAGTAATTTTAGAATTAATTTCTGTTGTTGCCCTAATTACCGATTTCGTAATTATGCAAGGAGTGTCTAAATAGATTCAATAATCAATTAAAACAATTGTTATGAAAATCGGCTGGATTTTTCCTTAATGTGAATAGGACTATTCTTTCATCGAAATATCAACTAAAAAAATATTTTGCGATTTATATTGATTATTATGGTCCAGTTTTGATATATTATAATGCCAATAATAGAAAATTGGATGAATGAAGGGAGTAAGAAGATATTTTCAGACAATCACTGGTCGTTTGGAAATAGGTTTCATATCGGCTTGCAAAACAAACGTCTCGACTTTTCTGCTGTTCTGCTATACAGGGAATTGGTTTTTGTTGAATGGCCCATTACCAATCTTGGCATTGTTCAATGATTTTACTGAATCGAGAGTCTCGTCGATATTCAGACCTTTTATTACTGGCGATATAACAATGTCTACCTCCTTACCATTATTGTTGAGGAGAGTCTGAGTTGAACGGCTCACCAACGTTCCTGGAGACTTGCCATTCTTCTTTTCCATTACCTCCATCTCGAATTCTGTAATGAACAAAACGGAAATTATTATGCAAACATTGATTTACCATTGACCATTGTATAAACACTGAATTACAATATGAATTTATGAGTTATGAACTTATTAGTGGATTACATTGCAATTGATTGAACCAATTTTGTTTCAGTAATTCTCTGTCAAATCATCTTTTAACTGGGCAACAATTAATTATTGGACAACAAATACGTAAAATCATTAATACAAATTGTAGAGAGTGGAGAAACGACTTTACAAAAAAAAATCCGTATTGAAGGTAAAAAGAATGGAAAATGTGGTTCACAATTGGATAGACGCAAGTTGGGTAATTAGAATAAAAAGAAAAAGTTATATTTCTAAATTGGCGAGAAAATGAAAAAAAAATCGATAAATGGTTTATGAAACTCGCCAATTGACAGAAATAAAACAGTATTCATTTTCAAAGCGGTTCGGTTTCACGGGTCGCTTATTTGTGGTGAAATACCCTCTATATTTGGAGCATTTCTCGTCAAAAGCATCTGCCTTTATCAATGAACAAAAAAAACATCAATGCCTCAAACACGTGTTCCAATATTTCATCAGTTTTTTAAAAACCAGTTGATAATAACATTATCACTTGGAAATAAAAAATGCTGTGAGCCATTATAACAAATTTTTACCATCCCCAGAGAAGACTTAAATAAAAATTACGGGACTGACAATTCGCCTACCGTTAATTAACGAGAAATTTAATAAAGAATGTCAACTAAAGTTCCAGATAAAAATGAGAGAGCGTTCTTGAAAAAAATTCTGAAAAGTTCTATTTAATTTTCTGTATTATAGAAGAGATACGTAGCTTTTATTAAATTTTTCTCTAACGAAGATAGAACTATTAGGTAGAATAGAGATTCAAGACATTTCGAATAAAAGGCATCGAAATACAAAAAGCTCGCTCCTTTTCCTCCGAGTTGGCCTCTAGTATACATTGCTTTGAAATATTATTGGAATCCTAGATCTTCTTTGAAACACAAGTGCATGTTTCAACAGTTAAAACTATATCATATATACGACTACAGCCGAGATATAAGTGGAGCACAAAGAGTTGAAACATATATCTATATCTTCGACAATGAAAAGAAAAGAGAACCGATAAAGGAGAAGGAGAAATATAAGACAACGATTTTCGATACAACACAGTAGATTTCAGATTTTTCTCATAATTTCCATACATTATTTCTGGGGATTTGTTTCGTTTCCATTCCACTTCGCACACTAAATAAAATTTATACACGCGTTTTCCTCATAGAATTGATAGAAAGAAAAAAGCTTGTGTTTTCGTATACCAATTCAATAGCATTTTCATTATCCTAATCAAATCAAAACATCTTTTCTAGCCGAAGATATTGCAATAATATGTACATGATTGCGGCGGAGCCCCGCGCGTACATATCCGCGAGCTTTATACGATATATTATATATCAGATATATAAATATTACACAAGCATGGGATATCGCAGATTAGTATGAAATTTCTACCTGAAACGATATTGCATGGCATTGATCATCAAATAATTTGAGCAACTTACGTTCACTCTGTGTAGAGCAGTCATTAGTAGTAACAACAAGTTTATTAACAGCCTTATTTTGATCACAGGTAACAGCAGTGAGTGTAACAGTTGCCATCATACTAGATGTATTATTTCTGCCAGTGGTGTTAATAGGTTTTGGTGTTGTACCCCTGAAGGGTCCCATGCCGCGTCTGATATTTCTCTCAGGATGAATTAGGATTATGTATAACTGATGAAATACATGGAAACCATACGGATGGTGATTAATGTATTCGCTGTAAGCAGGAAACTAACACAACAAGGATTATCTTGGTCCATAAACTATACCTTGGGACTGAATAGGCATGCTATAGTCACCGATGCTGAGAGACTGATTGTTACGGACATTGAGGTAATTCTCAGGGCGACGTGATTACCAGTCCCGAAGTAAAGTGGTACGAATGCCAACCAAATTACACATGTCGTGTACATTGTGAAACCTGAAATTGAAATTGTCAACGAGATAAGTGTAACGAATGTAGATATTTCAACAATATCCATGTATTTCTTTGGATTTAACAGATGTAATTATTTCAAAACATAATCAACACTTGAAATCGTAATTGCATAAACAGATTGTTTATGCAATTTTTTCAGGAGATTTTCAATGACACCAGTTGAGAGTATTTAAATAATAAAATTCCGGAAATAGATGGACTTTATCGTGAGCGATTGAGCGGTTCTGTGTATTGACTACCGTTCGACTGAAGTTCTTTCGAATTAGAATTGAGTGACAATCGAATGACTCCCAGGTGATTGGGATTCGTTCCAGTTACTATCGAGTTGTAATCGAATGGAAGTCGATATACTGCATCACTCAATTAAACTATCGACCTATTCGTCAAACTTTCTAATTCCTCGTTTATCTCATACAGTTGACGTACCAGATATTTTATATTTGTCTAAAGAAAATATACCGATAACTCCTCAATTTATCGCGATTGAATTTATCCTTCGGAGAATAGTAAACTCAACTGTATCGGATTGTTTTTATGGAAACCATTCCGGAACTTTTCTTGTCTCGTGCATTTCTTGTTTTCATCAATATTGTTCTTAAAAATTGCTATTCTTCCGGTACATTCCATGTCTGTTTTTCCTACATTCTAGGGACTGCGATTTTAAAATTGCATTGCGCACGTTAGTTTAACTGTTATTGTTGCCAACGTGCGCTATTCGTTGGGGTCTGTTATCACCCCTTAAATCCTAAATCTTCATTGCCTTGAATACACGAAAGAAAAAAATTCTGTTACATTCCGTCATATTCAGAATAAAATTCTCCTCGACTACATCCCGTGGTTTTATCATAATTTTTTCGTCTAGTTCTGCAGAGCTATTAATATAAAAAATTTCATCCCTTAATCAAATAGGTCTTAAAACATGTCATCCCTTCATTCTCTAAAAATGAACCTTTTGTCAATATTCTATTCGGATATGAATATAAAATACCAGATTTGACAGTTTAGAATGAAAATCCTAAATTTTCACAATTTTCTTTGCACACGCGTTTGAACAAATCTCAGGGAGAGATTCATCGGGGAAAATAACCCTCTCAAATTGAATTTACTATTTCCTTTATGACGAGATATTGAATTGAGAATTCACATCAACGAATATTGGCTGAAGCCGCTTTACATAATAATGAATGACTTGTTTATCATACCGATGTGTTTACTCTCGTTGAAATCCTCAGGTATTTTTCTCGTCAATACAGCATAGACCGTGCAGACAACGATCAATATGATCGGATAGGTGAAGGCTATCATGTAGCTAGCATCGATATAGCTATTGCAGACGAGAAGATTGTCTTCTCGAGTGGGATAATGATGTCTCGCTTTGGCTGGATCGATCACCATCCATACACCGTTGATAAGGATCTGAACTCCAACGAGCATCCCGCAGATGATGAGTTGAGATCTCGGTGATATGAATGATGGCCTCTTAGCACTTTTTTTACTAGCTTTGAATATACGAGCTATTCTATTAGTTTTCGTGAGAAGAGCTGCGTACACCACTGTGAAACAAAACCCCGCAGCGAACCTGATAGAGAAAATTCAACTTTAAGGTCATTTATTTAGGTAAAATAAGGGAGGCGAGGGTTTATTAGCAAGTAGCCTCCACTCCGAGGAGCTGGTCTTTAATTTTATGATATCAGGATATTGGATCTTGGAGTCAAAGGCAAACAAAATGGGGATGATGGGAATTTTTTGATTAAATAGAGTTTTTTTAACGGTTTTATTAAATTTTTAGAACAGGATCGGTGGTCCAGTCTTGTGGGGGGAACTAAGATGATTTTTTTTGTAATTATGATAGGAACGAGCACTTCGTTTGCATTAAAATAGATTTATTGTTTAGTACCAGTGAGAGGAGAAGAAGAAAGGAGATGAAAATTAAGAACTAATAATGGGCGTAATAGTATTTCAGAAGAGAAAATCGGGGATTTAATCGCTGAGTTAATGAGAAATTAATGACTTATGACTCATTCATATTTTTGCTTTTACAGTGGTTTCAGGCGAAAACATAATCTCACGAAAAGAGGAATTCTACTATCCTAGCTGCAATAAATTTCCAGTAAACGGGAATAAATAACAGAAATGCATAAAGACAAAATAGCCGTAGCTGTAAAAAAACATTATAATATTTACTCCATATTTCAACAGGCCAACAGGCATTCATTAAACTTTCAGTCACCGGTATTCATACATAACGAATGAATAATGTCAAAATCCGGTTATACAAGCACCTATGGAAATTTCCCATCGCAGGATTAAATTAATTTTCCATATTTTCAGTCTGTTGAGAGACCCAACATTTCAGTAGAAAGAGTGAGATCATGTCAGACATGACTTTATGAAAATTTATTGATATTTCTCTAATCATGTTTTTTTTACAGTGATATAACAATCACAAATTGATTTTTATGAAAATTGTATCAAGTACTGGTATTGGATGTTCTACAGACTTTTCTCCGAAATTCCAATTTCTCTGCCGACCGTATGAAGGGACTGACCAGAATGAGAAAGAATTTATAGAGAATTTTGGCAATACTAAAAAAGCCTCGGAGGTGTTAAACAAATAATTTGCATAGTTGCAAAATGAAGATAAAAAAATAGGGAATTTTCTTTACATATTTCAACAGATCAACGAGCATTCAATAAAACCACAGTCGCCTGCATTCATGCATAACGAATGAATGAATAATATAAAAAATGCTGGTGCAGTAGAAGGTGGAAATTCCTCCTACGAGATTAACTGAATTTTCCAGGTGGCCTGTTCATGTACTGTATGCAAATGTGCATCGGACATACTTGTTAACGTTTTTCCCAACACATCCACTCCCATTTTCTCTTGAATGCATTTAAACAGATGCAAACGTACTTTCAGAAGTAACCGGTGAACTTGGTCTATTACATTTTCCGGGAGTCACCATTGAATTCATTAAAACCAAATGTTATAAAATGGATTCCAAAAGTTCACGGTGAGACGCGAAAATTTCAAAATAAAATGGAATTATTTTCTAAATTGGTGTGGGACTGTTGAAGGAGTGGAAATTGGGTGGAAATTTGGAATCGAGATTTATCTCGAAATTTACCTCTGGATACCGCATACGAGGTTCGTTGGCTTTAGAACTAGAGTGAATGTAACCAAGTAGCAGAGCAGAATTCCGGTCAAAAGAATGTACGATAATTCACGCCCGGAGGCACGTACTATCGGGGTGTTGTTGTTCTTGAAGAAGACACCGCCGACGAATAACGTTACCTAGGGACAATTCATTTTCCATAAATTGAGGATGTTGGGCACATTTTTATGAAAAATTCTTCTCTTCTTTATTTGCCTGGACAATTGATGGGGTTGACGTGAAAAAAATAGAACAGCTTTTGCGTTTTGTCATTATTAAAAAGCTCACGAAGTCTCCTAGTGATACCATCATTTTCATGCGTTTTTTTGTAATTCTTTTTACAAGTTTAGAAAAAATTCAAGAAAATATTCGCACCACCTTGACACTTCGTGAGTTACTAAATAATCAAAACGCAAAAACTTGGTATTGATTCGCATCATTCCCATACATTATTTTTGCGTTCTCAACAATAAACTCCAGAAAGAAATATCAATATGAAAAATCTATAGAGTACGAAATGACTCGAAGTTTTTCCACCGTTAATGGCAATAAAGTAAGTCGAGTCTTTTGTTTTCTTTCATTTTCCAGCAAAGAAAAGTCATGAAAACATTTCGGTACAAACGTTGTTATTGATATTAATTGCTTCCCCGGCAATTATGAAATTGCAAAAATAAATGAAGTAAATACGAAAGGTGAAACGTAAAATAAGTGCCTTGTCCATTTCTCCTCGTTATTCGATGAAGTGAAGGAAAATTCATAATGGTGGAACATTTTACCGTTTTGATTGAGGAAGCATTGAGAGAATTCTTTGATATTTGAACGTGAGAGATAAAATCTCAAAGCTCAAGTGATACGATAGGAAGCATTAATGATGTATTGACTAAAAAGATCCATCGCGCTGCAAAAGCTCGGAAAAATAGCGATACGCGTTTATCGGCGAACGTTTAAAAGGATACACATCTTAAACAGATTTTCCAATTATTTTGTATGATGCGTTATGAAGGACGGGCTCTAAAGTCAACCGTTATAACATTATCTTCTAAAATAGTTATAAAATAATCGACTGGACCTGGGCAAATCGAGGAGGTATTCGCTAAAACACCTCCTCGATTTTCATGTTCCCCTGATACTTTTCCAAAAATTCCGAATTTTTCAATTCCAGTGAATACCTTCTCCATTTTTTTTTTTGAGAAATTTGGAATATAATTTTTTATCATTGGATTAGAAAATTATATTCTATCAAACTAACAGAATTTGGGAGAAGAGTAAAATTACGTTCGTTGCAGCACGTGAAATTCCACAAAACATGTTTGCAGCCATTGTCGTCCAACCCGACCAAATCCCCGAATATTGACAATATAATCCGCAGAAATTCTCGGATTTGGCTCCAGCACAGTATTCACTCTTGTAAAAATACCTGGAACCAGGGAAGTAAGGTCGGGATAACAAGAGGGTATACAGGATTTTATGAAATTCACAAATGATGTGAACCTCGTTCTTCCTCAAATCCACGATCTACGAAAGAACTCTACATAGAAATTGTTTTTCCACGCGGACTTTATTAGAAAAAGTGGCATCATCTCTGGAAAATGTTCAATAAAAAATATTGAGTATAAAAATCAATAGATTTTTATCTTTTGACGCAACTTACTTCACGAATATTGGCTAGGGAGTTTCATCTCCATGAAGCAACTGAATTATACAGCAACAAAAATTTTCCGTTATTGTTTAAATTTCAATTCAGGGGTTCCTATAAATTTCTGAAAAAAACTCGAAAACAAAAAGATATCGACACTAAATCGTTAAACTTGACAGCTCTGAGATACTGGCCGTTTCTCCTTGTATTCAATCGACAAAGAAAAAAAGCTTACAAGTATTCCACTGGCAGAGAAGGACATTGCGCCAATGGCCCATCCGCTATCGGGTTTGAGAAATTCCTCGGGAATATCTCTGCAATGCGAATGTGTTTCATCGGGAACAGTCCCCTGGGGGCACTGTACACATCTCGTTTGATCTTCTGCATGTCTGATCTGCAACCACACCATGAGAACAATGCGAAAAATTCAAGAAAAAAACAACAATACAGGAATACAGGAATCATATGATGAAATGACAAAAATATTCGAGTTTATGGGGCTGTCAGTGCCGGGGAAATTGCTTCTGACGGGGATGGTATTCAGTAAATAGTGGAATAACGTGACTGAGGTAATATTAACCTGATACTGCGTGCAATCGAGGCAGTGCCAGCAGCAGCTCTCACCCTCCACATATTTCTTCGCCTGTCCTACTCTGCAGGGTAATGAGCAAACGCTCTCCGGTGGTTGAGGGTTACCAAGACCAAATTGGATATCTGAAAAACAAATTATGAGTCATTTGATGAAGAGGGGTAAGGAACATTGAAGAGTAATGCAGTTCTTTCACTCAACTCGATTCTGCAAGTGCAATATTGTATCAGCAATGAGTGTTAAGTGATAGACATGAAGACTAAAGTTTCTTCGTTTGCAGAATATTTTCTCCGCTGAAGAAAAGCATTCCGAATTTTTTCTCTCAAATCTCTTTTTCTTTTTATATATCTGGGAAAGGCGTCAGGCTCGACAGATACCGAATCACATAAGTCAGAGGTTTAATATTCCTAATGGAGCAGTCGAATCAATTCCCGTGAATCTATTCATTTTTCTTTGCGCATAATGGATTGCGGTATAAATAAAATTTCAATCTTTGATTGGAGTTGGTTTCTTCTTTTTTTCTTTGGGATAAGTTTGAAAGTGTTTGTCTATAGAGAGAAATGGTATCGATCTGAATATGTGATGTACCGAAGGGCTAATCCCCAATAGCAATACGTACCTGTCAAATGGGGATCGATAAAGTGGATTTGGGAAAAAGTTTTCACATTTTATAAATCGCACTTTTCGACAGACAGTTTTTCTAAATCCAGAACTTTTTTTTATAGTTTTAGCAATGAACTGTTCTCTTGATCATCAAATGAGGAATAATTTTTAATGAAATATACTTAAATTTTGTGAAAAGTGGATAGACGAATAATAAATATATGGAAAATATGGGTAAGCGATATGAAAAATTGAATAATTGGGTTCACAATTGTACAGTAAATGGATATTGGTAAGAAATTATCAAAATATTTGCCAAATTATGTACCTGACATATTGAGACTTAATTCCCCTTCCAAATACTGTCCAACTCGAATCCACTTGTACACTTCTGGTGAGACTTGCTTGAAATGTATGATATTGTACCTGGCAGGGCCATCTCCGTTTTTATCGAAATGAAATTTGTCACCCGTCAGACCTACACCATAAAATGTTAATGCAAAAATTTCCAGGACATGCCAAAACAGCCAGTTTTTTGAGTTTTCACAGAAATGTTTCATTTTTTTCATTTCACACAAAATAATCGGATTAATCCAGAAAAATATATGTTTTTTTTTGCATTTTATAATTATTCCATCACTCCCAAAATGTCATGAGCGTACAATAATTTTTCTACTTTATTTAAATAAAGTTTGATAAATTTTTGAAGCGTTTAGAAAAAACGCAGGAAAATTATCCAATGAACATTCGGGGGAAAACTAAAAAAAACTGGTATTTTTAGCCAAAAGCGAGCGGAACATCCTTCTGAATTGTTCACCTTTAAATTCAACTTTTCTGAGATACTTCAACAACTCCGTGCCCTTTGTAGGTTTCATAGCATCGCAAAGGCCAAACTCCCCGTGACACAGGTCAGCATGCATATCTCTGTTGGAAATCAATTACAAATTGCATCATGTCATCATCCAGAAGTTCAGTACTAGTTAGAGAGCATCGAAACAAACATTACTAATGCATCCACGGGGATATTACCGGAATGCATAAGCGAATGCCATAACTGCATCTGAAACAAACTGCAGTTGATCCTCAAAGGCTGTATCCTCCTTTGTCAGACGCTCGTGGGTTGTACAGTTTTTCTTGTACCTCTGATTGTACGGGGTCTGGGATGAGTTTGGGTAACGGCATTTGAAGTGATCCTCCCAAAATTCTGTAATCAGTCTGCGATTAATCAAACCATTCAATCACCACCGAATATTCTAGAGTTGGCATTCTTCTTCGTTTTTATCACCACCTGAAAAATTAATCTGTCATCTCGATGAAAATTTGATTTAAAAGTTGGAGGGAAATTTTTTTTTCCAACATATACGTACAGTGTAAATTTTTAAACTAGAATGTAAGTGTCGCTGGCTGGGGAATTGCGCGTGGGAGGAAGTACCCAGGTGTTGAGGTATTACTCGTAGACGGGACTATCCTGACGCTGGGGAAGTATCCAACATTCAAGAGACGGAAAAACTATTTCCAACGTTTTCATTCCATTCTTTTATTAAATAGTTTTAAAATAGGGGCAAATAACCGAAACTACGGATTCGCAGTAATTAAAACAGAATGACAGCTGCTCCCTTGAATCCGTAATTTATATTTATTTGATTACGGGCACTATAAATGGAGTTAAATGCAGTGGCTTTAATTTGAATTTTTTTTATTGAGGACGTTGTACGCCCTTTGCGTTAAGATTCACGTTCTTCCATTTCTCTGGCAAACTTACGATAAGATTACTTCGAAAGTTTTAAATAAATGACAAAACTGTTAAGGGCATTAACTGCTGAATTATTTCAATAATAATAATTTAAATTTCGTGTAATTAATGTAACTGTCGAGTTTGATGAATATTTGAGAAGTGGTTAACTTTTCTAAAATGGACATTTTAAAATTAACCTTAGCGTATACAGTTGCCTGATGAATAACTTCTCGAAAAAGTGAATCAATTTCCAAACTTAAAACGCTATGAAACTTAAATGCTTGCCTCAGCCCCGAGCTCCTGGATTAGTGTTTGAGTTCAGTGAACGAAATGCCATCCCATGAATATTCATGCTTTTCCGTATCTTCTGAGTGATCTCGAAAGATACTAAAGCAATTTCAAGTGAAACCCAGAGTACTGCGATAGTGTAATCATTTCAATGTAATGGAGTTATTTCCAATTCACGGAAACAATTCTATTCCAGACTGAATTAATCAATCAGTAACACTCACTCAAGTGATTATCACAGTCTAATTCCAGTGATAAATGGCCATCTCATTATTATAAATCCATTATAATTCATAATTCATTATTTTAATCACCTAAAATTACAGTAAATCGTCGCATAATAATGTGATATATCGATTCTCGTGCTTTTATCTTTATACGGCATGAATATCTCCACCCAATCCACTCATATCAATCTCAGAATAATTTTAATGAGACTTACCCACAAACCAGGGATTCCTTCGATTATTTTCCACGCTCAGGCTGAGAAAATAGTCCTCGAAACCCTCGACAGGATTTGCTTGCGGTTGAACAGACAATGTTCCCTCGACTTCGGGCTCATTATTATTGCTGACTAATCCTCTTGCACTCCAACCATCACTCCCAATCCAGGA